AAGTCTCAGTTTGCCCAAGAATCGATGTGAACCATGATGCAGCAGCAACAACAAGCGAACAACAGGAGTAGTAAAGCAACAATAGTGCATAAGATGGAGACGGCGGCGCAAGAATGCAGTACTAACCGAAAGATATTGATGGCGGCTCAAGAATGCAGCACGACCGGAGGAAGACTGATGGCGGCGCAAGAATGCAGCACGACCGAAAGATGAGTTATAGGGGAGAGGCGGCAATTTGTATGCTTGAATGAACGTAGCAACGTCCAATAGAAGAATAGATGGTGCGAAAATGAAAAAGAGTAAAGATATATTATGTGCTTGCTTTGCTGTGGTCGAAGAGAATCCGACAGGGGGTGGTGTTATGATGTGTGTTTTATTGGGTACTAGCAAAAGAAAAGGACTCAATGGACAAATGCAAGAGTCGTAGAACCTACTTGGACAAACACTAAATTATTAGGACTGATTTTTACAAATCAAAAGAGATAGGACTATTTGGCATTAAAGAAAAAATAGAGGGACCGAACTGGAAATTGTACTAAGGAGAGGGACTAAAAATAAAAAACTGAAAGTGGCCAAAAATGCCTAAAATTGGCGGAGTAAAAGGACGGGGTTATTTTCTTTTTGCAGACCGAGTAAGATGGGGTTTGGTTTTGTATCTTTCTTCGGCTTGGATCTTTTATTTGAACGACAGGAAGGTGGGTTTAAGTCACGTGAGGAGGGCTGATTTTTGGCTTGAGGTGGGTTGGGTTGGGGGCTGGAGAAGGTTTTTTTTTTGTTTGTTCCTTTTTTTTTTTGTGATGGTGGCGGCATCGGCAGGAAAGAAGGAGAACGAAGAGCCGGCTGCCAAGGGAAGAGCCGATGAAGCTTTGCGGCGGCGAGGGAAAACTAGGAAAAATAAGATGTTTTTTTTTTCTCTTTTTTAATTTTTTTTTTTTTTTGTAAAAGATGATGATGATGATGCGGCAGGAGATGGTGATCAAGAAGAAAAGAAGGAAGATTTTTTTTTCCTTTAAAGATGAAAAGGATATGCTGATGATGAAGGCCGACTAGATTACTACGGTAATCTAGATGATGATAGGTGATGATGGGAAGGGCGTGGATGATGATGGATGTTGATGGATGAAAAAGAGCACTAAGGGGATGCTTGAGGACTTGTGCAAAAGGCAATAGAGAAAGAAGAAAACCCGCGGTCGGAGGAGAAAAGGGAAGAGGACGACGGAAGAAGGAAGGGAAAAGAAAAAAATGGCAGTAGATGATGATGATAGTTAGGATGGATTATGATGGAGGGAAAAAAAAAATTTTTGCATATAGCAACAGAGAAAAAGAAAGAGACACAACCTTGATGTGTTGTTTGTGGTTTTTCTTTTGTGTGGCGGAAGAAGAGTAGAATTGAAGAAAAAAAAAGGTTTTTGTAACCTGCCCCGATACCAACTTAAAGAATGTAATAGCTTGTATTAAGTAATGATCAACAAGACTATTATATGATTTATATAGAGAAACCTACAACTATATGGGATAATATCAATTACAAGATAAAGCTAACTATATATTTATCACAACTAGAGATAATTATCACATTAACAATCAACACGACCAATTCTCAAGTTAATTAATTGACCTCAACAACCTTGTTAAAAGAAAATATAAATTTTCTTTTGATTCTTCCAACCTCAACCTAAAAATTCGTTCGACAATCAACCATGAAGTATGGAACCACTCTATCATATGAAACGTCAATTTACTTCACAAAATGAACTTCTACAATATTTTCGGTATGGTGCGCATTGGCGTTTTTAATAAGCGTCGTACAATTTTTATAATTTATGCCAATATCCCAAGTCTCATCGACATATTTTGGAGTTTGTATCCAGTATATCCGGGAGCACCATACTCTCCTTCCTATTTTTTGCACTAAGAGTCTTTATTGTACTTTTAATCAATCTTTTTATAATTTGTAGGTTTAGTCCCTGTGACTTTTTTTTTTTTCTCCTTTAAAAAACATCTCTAATCTTTAAACGAGTATATCTCTCAATTTGTGAAGAATTTGTGAACAAATTATATATAAAATTTATAGTATTCGTCGAGATCTATCTAACAAGATCCATATCAAATATTTTTTTCGGGCTTTAAAAATGATTAAATTCTGATGGGCTGAATAAAAGTGGATATCCAGTTTTACAAGATGGATAACCAAGTTATTTTAAATTAGTTATCCTTTGTGTTCATGCTTATTATCTAATCAGTTTGAACTGGTTATCTATTTTGTTTGTACTATTTATCCATTCGTTTTGTATGCCTATCCAACTTGTTTGTAATGGATATCCCACTTGTTTGTATTGGATATCCATTTGGTTTGTACTGTATATCCAACTTGTTTGTACTGGATATCCATCCATTTAGTTATGCGTATCTAACTTGTTTTGTAGTAGTAATCCAACGGGTTTATATGCATATCCAACGTCTTTGTACTGGATATCCATCCATTTGGTTTGTATGCCTATCCAACTTGTTTTATAGTTGTCATCCAACAGGTTTATATGCATATCCAACTTATTTGTACTGGATATTCATTCATTTGGTGTGCATGTCTATCCAACTTATGTGTACTGATTATGCAACGGATTTATATGACTATCCAAATTGTTTGTACTGGTTATCCAATCATTTTTTTTATTTGGAAAAAATCTCTGTCCAATATGCTAATACTGGTTATCTATTTTGTTTATTCCGCTTATCTAATCATTCTTTTCTTTGAAATACGGTTATCCAATGTGTTCGTAGTGATTATTTAATCGATTTGTATTAGTTATCCAATTATTTTTACTGCTTGTCTAAATAAATTTGTATTGTTTGTCAAATCATTTTTTTTTTCTTTTGAGAAATTGCTTGTCCAATTAATGTGTTCTTACTGATTATCTAACCCCGTGTAATTATTTCTCCAGCTATTTTTTTAATTTTTTTTATGAAAATACTTGTCCGATATGTTTGTTCTTGCTATCTAACTAATTGGTACTGCTTATCCAACCTAGGTTTTTTCTTAAAATAGTTATCCATTGTGTTCATAATGATTATCCGACCGGTTTGAACTGATTATCCATTTCGTTTGTACTGGTTATCCAATCTTTCTTTTTTTTTTTTTGGAAAATCATTATCCAATGAATTAATACTGATTATTCAATAATTAGTACTGTTTATCCGACCTTCTTTTTCTTTTTCTTTTTTTTTTTGAAAAAAAATAGTTGTCCAACGCGTTCATATTGATTATCCAACTGCTTGATATAGATTATCCAACTATTTTTTCTCTACTCTTTGCAAAAATCCTTGTCTAATTTTTTGTACTGACTATCCAACCGTTTTGTATTGGTTATCCAATCGTTTTCACTGATTTTCCGAACATAATTTTTTTTTCTTTTTAGAAAATATTTGTCCGATGTATTCATACTGATTATCCAACTTCTTAGTGATAGTTATCCAACATTTTTTTTTCCTTGCTCTTTTATGAAAATGATTGTCCAATTTTTTTGTATTGATTATCCAACTAGTTTGTACTGCTTATCCAATTATTTTCACTGGTTATCCAAGTGGTTTGTAATGGTTATCCAATCATTTTTTTCCTTTTTATGAAAAAATGGTTGTCCAATGTCTTTGTACTGGTTATCCAACATAAATATTCGTTTCTGCCCAGAGTATTTTAATTTTTTTATTTCTCGAAATTAATATTCGATATTGATCTTATCGGATAGATCTCGTCGAGTACTATAAATGTCATGCATAATTCATTTTCTAATCATTCACGGATCAAGAGATATAGAGAACACAACAATATGAATGTAAATTAAGGTTGTTATCCATTTTTTTAAATTTGATATCCATGTTATTTCTACCCATCAGAATTTTATCATTTTCAAGTCCAAAAAAATATTTAATATGGACCTTGTTGGATAGATCTCGACGAGTACTATAAATTTCATATATAATTCATTCACAAATTTTTCACGGATTGAGAGATATACTCATTTGAATATGAGAGATTTTTTTTGGAAGAGAGAGAAAAAAATAACAGGGACTAAACTTGCAAATTATAGGAAGATTGAGAAAAAATTATAATAAAGACTAGTAGTACAAAAAATAGGATGGGGAGTAGGTGGTCCCGGATATACTGGATACAGACTCGTTAAAACCCCTTTGAACTTACAAATAAGTGAAAGACACTTGTCCCACATTGGAATTGAGAAGCTAACTTGATCAACATATATGCCCCGATGTACTACTCCCCTCATTACTGATTGATTTTGAGGTATAACCATACGTGGGCTTATATAGGCCTTCAACATTATTCTTTCAAAAGAATTACACTTTTACCCCTTACACATTAGTCATTATGAGTTTTCACTATTTTTTTTACTCTTCCCATCATTGCTGAATGTGTTCAATTAACTGCGATTAGTTTTCATAAAGAAAAGGAATAAGCCGCCAAAGCATCAAAGATCAGATTGTCGTTTACCATGTGCATTCGAAGGACGAATATTTGAGAAGTGATACCTTCTAGGGGCTTCCGTAATCAATTATAAGGCCAAGAATTATTTGTTTATTTATTTATTTTGGTCCAGAAATTTGAAAAAACAGGACTTAAAGAAAGAAGATGGAAAATTGACTTCTCACCAAATACATTAAATTATATCTAAAATTTCAACTCCTACTTAATTTTTTTTTAAATAAAAGAAAAAAACAAGAGATGGTTTTCTCCCTGCCCGCAATCATTTTAATATTGGATTACACAATAATATTCTTCTGTGTTTTCCTTTAAACAAAAATTTTTCCAAACCACTCCATTACTTATATATCCACTCCAACCTAATTCATTATATATGTCATCATTTTATTTTGTTTTATTTTTCCCCGATGTCTACAAGTCTTCTCTACGTCATTTAAAAAAAGAAGAAGAAGAAATCCTATACCAACCAGTTGTATCCTTTTAGTATATTAAGTATTAGCACTCTTAATTTTGTTGTTGAAACTTCATAAGAATTATTAACTTTTTTTCAAAATTATCATTTATATTATCCTATTTATTGTATCTGGCTGCACAGCAACAACTCCATAAAGAATAAAACTACTTGTTTTGTCCGAAATGTTCATAAAGAAACGGACAGCAGATATGGCTCTGTATATAAATAGTTCATTCTTAGAACAAAGTTAATTTCCTACTCACCAAATATTGCTGCACTTGACACTCGAAAATCATGGTTCCTGCTTCTGATCTTGATGATCATCTCATCCATCCCATGAAAGTTCCGCTAATTGACTTATCCCTTCTCAGCCAAGATTCTCATTCAAGAGATATTGTCATCAAACAAATTCAACAAGGTTGCCAGAATTCTGGAATTTTTCAGGTAGTAATATTTTTAACAGTTTCTAGAAATATTCTTATTTATCTTCTTGACTTCATCACTATTTCTATCAAATTTTGTTTTGTTGCTTTAATTGGTGCCGTTTCTTTAAGGTAATACATCATGGGATTCCCAAATCAGTCATTGATGAAGCCTTAGAAGTCAACAGAAGTTTCTTTGACATGCCAGAGGCTATGAAGAAGGATCTTTTGGATAATGGTGCCGCCGGGGACCTTTTCTGTCCGGTGAAGTTAATTAATTTCGCAAGCGGAGCTCCGGGAAATAACCAGCTGCTCCAGAGAGACCTGTTAAGGCTTCATGCCAACCCTTTGGAAGAAGTTGTCGAATTTTGGCCTAAAAACCCTGCTGACTATAAGTGAGTCCAAAAAAAGAAAAGGTTCAAATATGCTGAATTAAAACAGTTTAACAAATCGAATCGTTGATTTTGAATCTATATGTGTATCATCTAATTTCAGATTTATGCTCTATTTGTCCCGAAATTATCTAGTTTGGATTTTCAGTTTTAGTTCAAATTGTACTAGAAGTGAACATCCGATAATAATTTTGAGACGGATGGAGTAATTAATAATCTACTTACGATTTTGGGTGATAAACTATTAGGGAGAAGATGGGAAGGTACACAAAGAAAGTGAGGAAACTAGGCAGCGAGATGTTTGAAGCCATCATGGAAAGCTTGAATTTGTCTGCAAAAAATTACCTTAAAGAAGATTTTGAAAATGGATTTCACGCACTCGTCGCCAACTGTTACAGATCAAATCCAAATTCATCCAACATAAAGATAGGTGCACCTGCACATTCAGATCATAGTATCATCACAATCCTCTTGCAAAGTTCTCCAGGGCTTCAAATCTTAGATATGGCTGATGGGATCTGGAAATCAGATCCTGAGATTGAAGGGTCCCTCCAAGTCTTTGTCGGGGATCATTTGGAAGTATTAAGCAATGGAATATACAAGAGTGTGATGCACCGTGCGATACCAATTAGTACTAAGGAAGATAGGATTTCTATAGCTAGTTTTCATAGTTTTGGAATGGACATGATTGTTGAGCCAGCTCAAGAGTTGATCGATGGTGATGAAGATTCCCCAAAAAGATATAACGGGTGCTGCGCAAGAGATATTATGACCCACATCGCTTCAGGAAAAACAAACCGCCTCATTGATGTAGATATGAACTTGTAATTTTGAGAGAAACTTTGCCTCCATTTTGACTTTTTTTTAAAACAAAGGAAAAGAAGAAGAAAATCGAATTTTCATAAGGTTTTGCGTCTGAAAAAGATTTTGAGATTTGTTTTGCAATTAGACCGAAGACCAGCACTTGGATGAATTAGTTGATCAATTAGTAATTATAACCAAAAAATAAGAGATAGACTAATAACTAATTGTGATTGTGAATTTCTAATCTCGCAATATGTTCTTGCCAATTTCATATATACTTCTCCACTCTCTACCTTGTGCTTGAAATTATTATTTCAACTAAATCGTATTTGATATGAATAAATCTATTTTGGAAGATAAAATGATCTCATTAATTATTCTAACTACTTGGTCAGGATTTCGATCAAACCAAAACTCAAATATAAGGGATGAATAAACATTCCTATAATCAGATTACATATAGCAATTGAATATATCTTTATTATATATACAATAATACAACAATGAAACATCCCATACAATTTGGATAAACACATTTACACGAATTAAGACTTCAATGTTTCATTAATTAGTCTACAAGTAATCTCAATTGGTAAGTCGCGAATCTTCTGGCCAAGTTAATCTCCTGAATACAAGCACCAGTTCCTTCTCAACCTTGATTGTCCCTGAAAAGAGTTGATAGAGATGCCGATGACTTCAGTTTCACCGGCCCTTCATGGCCAAAAGATAAAATCATTGTGGACAATGAAGAATCTGATTTGACGGTCCTCATCGTAGCTGTAACCTCCGATCTAGTTAACGGCTCTGACATGGTTGACAACGACGGCGTCGATATGACCAACCTTAACTTCTTCAACAAGCTACTACTACTTTTGGTGCTGCCCTCCTCCTCCACTTTAACTTGAGATTTAGGTTGACTTAATTCGTGAAAGTTGACAACCGAAGATTCTTTCAGTAGTATAACCAAATCAGCTCCGGCGTTTTCCTTGTCGCAAAGCAGGGCGCCAACGTTCAAGAATCCCTGGAACCTTCCGGAGGGACGATGGACGTGAACCGTGGTGATCAAATTCCCAAGACAGCTACTCAGCAGTGAAAGAATGAATTTGTCTGTATGTTTTCATGTATGTACGGTACAATATATATAGGCAATGTGTACAGAAACCCTAGCCTTCTATGGAAACCCTAATTAGGGTTACCTAAATTACATATCCTATCATCCCCGCAATTTTAGCAGGATGAGATATCATGCCTAGATTGGTACCTAGATTGGTACTAAACAAATAAAATTTATCTTTAGCTAAGAACTTGGTAAAAACATCTACCAGCTGAGACTGTGTAGGAATATGACGAACAGAAAGATGTCCAGCGGTAACACAATCACGAACAAAATGAATATCTAACTCAATGTGCTTCGTTCTGGCATGAGAGACAGGATTAGCGAGGTAGGTAGTAGAAACATTATCACACAATATAACAAGAGAGTTGGGAAGGGTGATGTGAAGCTCAGAAAGAAGATGTTCCAACCAAATAGTCTCAGCTAAGTCTGAAGCAACCGCGCGGTACTCGGATTGTGCAGAAGAGTGCGAAACAGTAGATTGCTCCAAATTGTGCAGAAGAGCGCGAAACAGTAGATTACTGTTTGGAGGACCAAGAGACTAAGGAGGATCCCAAAAAAACACAGAACCCAGTGGTGAAACGACGAGTCGTAGGGCACCCTGTCAAATCAGCATCTAAATAGGCAACTAGACGATCAAGTGGACCAGCACGAAAATAGATATAGTGTAGAGATCCCTTAATATATCAAAGAATACGCTTGACTGCCTGAAAAATGTTGTTCTCAAGGATATGCATATGCTGACAGACAAAATTCACCGCATACTGGATATCCGGACGAGTGAAAGTGAGATATAGTGAAATATTATAGGGTACCCACCAAACTCCGATAGAGAGTTCGACGAAGGGTTGTTAGTGACAATTTCGGTCACAGGTTCATTAATGACGGAGGATTCAGTGGAGCGAGCCATGGATTATGATGAAACTGACGAAAGAGGAGGAATATTTTGCTGCTTTGTGGGACACGAATTAGAGTAGGAAACAGAAACTTACGAAACTACGAATTTGGAAGCTGCGACAATGAAGAAGACAGAATTTTTTTTTTTAGAAAGCCGAGAGAAAACAGAAAGAACCAACGGTGGCGGCGGGAACCCTAAAAGTTTTGAGAGACCAGGAAAGAACCAGAAGAACCACGCAAATAGAAAACTACGCTAAGCTATCGATGATGAGGAGGATTAAGAGAAGCAGGCTGCTGTTGGAGTCGAAGCAGGCTGCTGTTGGTGTTTTTTTTTTTTTTTTGATGTAGCTTCAAGCGATTGCGTGGAGTTGGTGATGCACAAGGCAGCTGGGTTTTGGTGGATGAAAAAGAAAGCGCCGACCAAGAAAGAAAAGAAGCAGAAACCTAAGGAGAAAACTAGAGAGCTGAACGGATTTGAGAGGCCGAGGATCGATCGGGCGGATGATACCATGAAAGAATGAATTTGTCTGTATATTTTCATGTATGTACGGTACAATATATATATAGGTTATGTGTACAGAAACCCTAGCCGTCTACGGAAACCCTAATTAGGATTACCTAAATTACATATCCTATCAAGCAGGCATCTAGCGGTTTCGACGAGGGAATCCTTCGTCAAGTGACGCCGCCCCACATTGTATATCTCCACGTTGAATCCGGCGGTGGCGCTGTTGATGAACTCTGATGAAACTCGAAACAGAAACTTGTCATTCCAAGTAGGGTTTTCGCCTCCAAAACAATCGATTCGAGTTCTTAATTTCCTCGACGAATCATCCACCCAAACCACTGCATAGGTTTGTTGTGCTTTACTACCTTCGTTTGCCTTCTTCTTCAGATGATCTTGGGCTGAAACCAAGTTGATTTCCAGGATGTGATGACTATCTTTCTTCTCCTCCATCGTACCCCTGATCACAACTTCCGACGTTTCCACTAAAGAGATTGGAACCTTAGACTTCTTTCTATGTGTCTTTTAGGTTTTGATCTCTAGCACAAGGGGGATGATTAGAGACCTTATGCATGTATATATATATATATATATATATATATATATATATATATAGTTGAATTGGGGTCGGTGCGTAAGTTTGAATCTGGAATTGGATTCCTGACATTTTTTTAAGAAAGGATTCATGAAATTAATATCCTGTGTTTTAAGTTAACAGGGATTCATGAAATTATCAACCGTCTTTTGTAAAAATTTTAACAACGCGTATTTAGTTTATGTAAGTTAGTTTCGAATGCAAGACCACTCCGCGAAGGAGAATTATTTGCTCTGCCCAAAAAAAGAAAAAGGGAGTTTCGGGGAGTGTTTTTTAATCATTATCAATTCAACTTTCACTTGTTGACTTTGCAATTAGTGACACCACACAGATAATTGAAGTCTTATTTATGGAAATCAAAGTCAAAACAAAGATAAAAGTAAATAAAAAAAAAAAAAGTCAAAACAAAGGTAAGAGTTAATTTAAAATGTCAAATCAAAGTTTTAAAAAAGTCATAGTTCTCCGGCCCTTCAGACGTGGCTGATGGGATTTAAAAATTTGACCCTAAAATTGAAGGGTTCCTCAAAGTCTTCGTTGGGGATCAATCATTTGGAAGCGTTAAGTAATTGAGTACGCAAGAGTATGCTGCACCGTAGATAGTAATTTTGCTATGTTTGGTTGGTTTTTCCATTGGTTTTTTTTTAAATTTTTTATTACTAACTATGCCATCAACATATTTTTTTACATTTTCAATACACTATTTTACATTCTCAATAAAAAAAAACACACACACACTAAAAAAACGATCCAAACATACATGGGAACAAGGATTTCTATAGCTAGTTTGCAATGATAACGAAGACTTTCAAAAAACATACTCATTTTGTCTTAAAATTATTGTCTAATTTAGGTTTTCATTGTTAATACACTTTGAATTAAAAATAAAAATTCAACTTAGATAATAATTTTGGGAGAGAGAATACAAGAAATGTAGTGCTAGAGAGATTTTGACAGAAACCGCCTCATATCGAGTGTAACTTGTATTAGTAGTTATAGAGAATAACGAATATGTCATCATCAATCATACCTTATGCAGAGTTTTCTAGTTTTTATCGAAACGGAATGTTAGATTCAATCAACGTAAACTTTTGAGGTTTCGTGGATATCGTGATGATGATAGTCGTAAAACACATTGCAACTTCCAGAATGGATGTGTCTTCCTTGCTTTTCAATATGTATTTACTTTTTTTGCCCCTTATAGCTCTTCTACTTATTCAAAGTCAGATGTGATCTAGGGTTCAAAATTTGTTGGTAAAGTCATTTTATTAGGCAAACTACATAGTCCTAACATTAAAGACATAGTCCAAACATTCATGATCAGTTGGATTACTGGTTCAAATTTGTCAGGAGACTAAATGGTCCAAAACATTGACAACGCCATGAAGAGATGGAACTTATATTAGAAACATTGACAACAACCTTATACTCCGCGACTAGTTGAGGTTAATTTTAGCCTGCCAATATGAATAAATGTAACAATTAGTTTATATATGACGGTACAAGAACACCCTGAAAAGAATACCCTAATGAATTTAGCTAAGTACACACAAAAACGAAGACAATAAAACACTATACTCTCAACTCGGAGAATCTAAAGAATCAAAGTTGTTTCTTTCTCTCATTCTGCCAGTTGAATCTCCATCGAATCTCTATGTGCAGCTCTACTATCAGGCTCATCGTCCGACGACAGAGTTGGCGATGACGACGAAGACGACGATGATGATAACATCATTGTGAATAAGGACGGATCTGATATTGCAGTCTTCATCGTTGAAACCTCTTTCGATTTAGTAGTCAACGGCGAGGCTGGCGGCGGCGGCGTTGACATGGCTGACAACGACGGCGACGATCTAACCAGCCTCAGCCTCCTAAAAAAACTCTCCTCTTTGACTCTAGCTTTACTTCTAGTCAAATCATGGAAACTAACCATGGAAGACCCCTGGAATATGCCTGAATCCGTACCGGCCTGCTCCCCGACCTCGGAAATTGCGGCTGCGACGTTTAAGATCCCGTGGAAGTTTCCCGATGGCCGGTGGACGTAAACCGGCGTGATCTGCTTTCCGAGGCAGCTACTCAAGAGGCACCTGGCTCTACCGACGAGAGAATCTCTCAGGTGACCCGCGGCGTAAATCTCGACGGTGAATCCGGCGGTGGCGCTGGTGACGAGGTCAGAAGAAACCCGGAAGAGAAACTTGTCGTTCCAAGTAGGGTTTTCTCCTCCATAACAGTCTGTTCGAGTTCTTAATTTATTCAATGAACCATCAACCCAAATAACCGCATAAGTTCTTCTAGTTTTGCCACTGATTTTCGAAGGAACCTTCAAGTTTTGAGCAGATACTAAGTTGATTTCGAGAACCTGATAGAGTTTCTCCTCCTCCATCATAGCCCTCTCGACCAACTGCGGAAGATGTTGAGAGAAATCTCAAGATTCTTTTTTCTTTTTCTTCTCCATTCGGGTTAACTCAGACCTTTTTGTTTATATATTGGTTTCACATTACCACAATTTCAAGTCAATTTGGATTCAACTTGGATTCCTTACGTTAAAATACGTGTTTTATTTCTTATATTACTAACAATGTTGTGGCCAATGACATTGTTTATTCTAAATACAATTCTTTTGTGAAAAGGGTTCATCAAATTAAACCGCGTGCCACCCTTTTTTTTTTTTTTGTTGAAACTCATTTCCATATTACAAAAAGAGGTTTAAAAAAATAAAAAATTTCAAATTATTTAGGCTCCGTTTGGTTAGATTGAATTGCAGTTGAATTGGAATTACAATATTATTAAATTAAAAATGAGATATTAAAATTGTAATTCAATCTCAATTTTCTTGTTTGGGAGATCTTGAAAATTTACTAGAATTAAAGTTCTAATTCCAATTCTTGCGTTTAGATGCATAAAAATTTGGATACTTTAGAATTGAAATTAGTTTGTTATTGTATAACTAATACTAGTACAATTTATACTTTTGTCAAAAACTTTTTTAAAAAAAAATCTTATTTTATTATGGATATGTATAACACAAAAAAAATAAATAAATTCATTATGTACATGTGACTACTTTGTGGTTGTTTAACTAATACAATTTTTACTTTTTTTGATAAAACGAATTATTATTAATTAATTTGCTATATCAATTTTGTAATTTATTATGTACACACATTTTTGTTGGAAACAAAAGAAATATTATTACGTATAAGAACTATTAATATTATACTTAGAATTCTCACTTAATACACAAACAAGTAACACGTAAAACATCTTTGTTTTTCTCTCTTTTATTATTTTTCAAAATTTTTAATTTTTGATGTTTTGATTTATATCAAAAATTAAAAATATTTGTATTATATAACATTGTAAATTCAGTTTATGAATATTGAGGTTCATTTATACGTAGATTAACATTAGTATATAATAATGCTTAAATATTTTTATTTTTAGTATATAATTATATATGAAATAATAGATACTTAAAACTCAACTTACATAATTTTTTGTGAAAAGATGCCATGAATAGTTAAAATATATATATATACGTATTATAATATAGGTGTATATATGGAACATTTTTTATTAAAAAAATGAAAATGTTATGTTGTTTACTATGTCATAATATAATAAAAATATTGACTAAAATTAAAATATTTAGTTATTAATTTTTTTTGGTTACAACTATATTTTTGATTTTTTTTTTTTGTAAAAAAGATACAATGTTAATTTTAAATTGGTTTCGTTGATAATTATTAAAATGATATATATGAAATAATAATAATAATAATAATAATAATAATAATAATAATAGTAATGAGACAAACAACCCCAAAAAAAAGAAAAAAAAAGAAAGAAAAACGCCAAGAAGCGTTGAAAGAAAAAAAAAAGAAAAAGAAAAAAGCTGAAAAAATAAAATTATAAAAAATATATTAAAACAAAAGGCCAAAAGACAAAAATTGATAGGACAACCCGTTTAGTTTATAACCCAGAAATGACACGGCTATGACCCGCATGTTTTTTTTAAGTGCCTTGAATTTAGATTCTAATTATTTGCTCCCACAAAAGAATTGAAAATAAAGAATTGAGCCCTATCTTGAATTATAATTACAATTTTTGTATCTCTATTTTTAGCAACCAAATACAAGAATTGGAATTATAGAGCTCCAATTCTAATTCTTAGTCCCAATTCAATGCAACCAAACAAAGCCTAAATGTATTTAATGGAAAAAAGAAAGATAAGTTTAAATTCTCCCATATTCGGAAAATGGGTTACTTTGTCAAATTATAAAATAATATAACCAGTGAAACATTTTTATACTTCTTCTTTCTCAAAATCATTGTTTAATTTAGATATTTATTTTGAATTCAATTTGTACTAAAAATAAAAATTTAAACAGAATAATAATTTCGAGACGAAACAACATTTTGATTCATTGTGTACACATATTCATATATTTATCACCACCCTTTCTTAATTTGCGTACGGTCTTTTGTTCCCTTCATTTATCATTATTTTTCAGGTGGCAAAGTAACAGCTGTCAGAAACAACAATATTAACAAGAAAAAATGATGCTTAGTAACAGCTGTGTTCACCGACTATCACTCACACGTGTATATGTGACAACTGAAAGCATCAATGATGGTTGTCGTATTAGCACAAAAAAAAAAAAACAAAAAAAATTAATGCACTGGGAAAAGGAACCAAAAACCAAAAGAAAAAAATAATAAAACTCCATGAACTGCCTCAAACCATGTTGAGGAATGATTCAAAAAAAGGCATTGACTGATCCCACTGAGATTGTTGTACAATACATAAGCCCGTAGGATTCAGCTATGGTGGTGGCTGCTGATAATATGCAAGTTCCTGTTGTAGACTTCTCCCAATTGCAAAATGATTCGCACTCGAAGTCTCTTGTGATCAAGCAAATTGGCGAAGCTTGTGGCAGTTTTGGTGTTTTTCATGTAAATCCCACATCTAGTACTCTTATGTTTCTTGAGTAATTCCTATGTTTGATTTTATGGTCGCTACATCAGTTTAGTTAATGGGTTCGGTTCTGTGTAACAGGTAATTAATCATGGGATATCTGAGACTCTGATTCAACAAGCCATGGATGTGAATTCAAGCTTCTTTGGGTTGCCCCTGAGGAATAAGGATAGATTTATCTCTGATGACATCTATAAACCTGTGAGATACAGTCCCAATCAAGGAGGGAATCTGGGATTCTCCAGGGAGTTCTTGAAGCTTTATGCTCATCCGTTTGATGTTTTTGTCTCTTCATGGCCTGATAACCCACCTGATTACAGGTATTCATTTCCAATTTCTTTCAAAGTTTTTAGCTTCCTCTGTTTCGTCATAACCATTTAGTCATTTACTACTGTTAATTAGTCACTTAGAATCAGTCAAACACGGGAAATAGTCCTTTTTACATTAAAGATTTGGACCCGGATGTTGGATGGAGTTAATAAATTCATTACAATTGCAGTATATTACTCCTTCCGTCCCAAAATTATTCTTTAGTTTGGGTTTTCATTCTTAATATAAACTGAACTAAAAATTAAAATCCAAACTGGACAATAATTTTGAGACGGAGGGTGGATATCTGTAAATTTCTCTAATATTCTCTTTAATTTGGACAGTAAATTGAAGTTCGATGTTGTGTTTTGAAATATTTGGGAAATGATGTACATTTGGCCATCTATGCACTCTTCTTATTTTGGTTAGGCTGAGAAAATTGTAAATGGTGACAAACAGGGAGAAAATGGGAAGGCTATCAATGGAGATGAAAAAATTGGGGGTTGAAATACTAGAATTCATCATGGAAAGCTTGAATTTGGAAGCCACATATTTGAAATCAAACATTGAAGAAGGGATGCACATAGTTGCCATAAACAGTTATCCACCAATTTCGACTGAATCAGAAATGAAGAAAATAGGTGTTGTTCCGCATACAGATCACAGCATCATTACCATTCTTTTACAGACTTCAGCAGGCCTCCAAGTGATGGATCAAAAAACAGGAAAATACGAAAGTGCGTTTTCCGAGCACAAAGGGTCGATACAGATCCTTGTGGGAGAGCATTTGGAGGTGTTAAGCAATGGGAAATATAAGGCTGTTCGGCATCAGGTTGAACAAATGTCTAGGGATGAAACTAGGCTGTCCGTTGCTAGTTTTCTGAGTTTAGGTATGGATGAAGTTATTGAGCCTGCTGTGGAACTTGTGGATGATGAAGAACGTCCTAAACGATACAAAGGGAGCAGCTTAAGAGACTTTCTCAAGCATTTGGCTTCCGGAGAATCAAAGCCTTTCATTGAGACAATTAGAATATAGGACCGCCAACCTTATGAATCAGATATTCATTAGCAACTTTTTTAGGCATTATTCATCCTCATCTCTCGTGTTTTTGTTTGTTTGGTGGCAAATCTAATTTGACAAATTTTTTAATGTTACAGTCTAAACTGATATTGGAAAATATGTGTGAGAGTTGTGAGATCAATGGTTTGGTGGTACTTTGGTAGAATGACCGCTATTGAATTGTATTTTCTTGGTTACTCCCTCCATTTCAAAATGTAGGTAGTTTTAGGTTTGGAGAAATATTTCAAAATATACGTCGTTTTAAGATTTCAAGACAAATTAAAGATTAATTTTCTAACTTTACCCCCAATAAATGATGCTAATCATTTTTCATCTAGTTTTGGTTATAATTCCAAAACAATTAATGAAGGACAAAATAAATATTTAACACACAAATTAATCATGAAATAATTGTCTCCTTAATTTACATGTAGAGGTTAAAAAGACTTATTAATAAATGGAGGGAGTAAATTTTGAAAGGTGAGATTTAATTCGAATGGTCCCTTTTGTCGGAATTCTTATTAGTATTGATCCCAGAATCAGAAAAAAAATAAATGCAGAGCACAGCAGAGTCGCTAGCTTGGCTCATTGTACTCTTGCCAAAAGAATAGTCAGTCCATTTAAATTTAATAAGCTTTTTGGAAAATTATTTCAAGAAGGAAGGAATATTATACAATTTTGCATTTCAAGTTTGTAACATGAAAATTAAAATATTACAAAACTACGTGAAGAATCTGAAGTGGAATGTGCCACCAAATTCCTATCATATATTTTCTTTTGTTGGTTCACGTACGAAAACTGAAGGCCAATGGCCCTAAGTAAACTCCTCATAAAAACTTTGGGACGTCAATAAAAAAAATAATAAATTAATAAAAATAAAGAATATGAAGAGTCCCAATCTTTACACTCATCAGTGTCTCCCTAATTAACACGTTGGCCCAGAGATTGTTTTCTCTAGAAGAATCCCAATCAAAATTTCGTGTTTAATTTCAAAAGTATGCAGTGCGCCGGGATTGGAACACGATCACAATCGCGCTTGGTAATTGGTATTTGGTAGCATACGAAACTTCATTTTTGGGTTCTGCTGACCATGGAATTTAACATACACGCTCGTTAATTAAAAACTTTTTGGTTGGGTATTTTCATAGCTTTTTCATACTCTCTCCGTTTCATAATTATTGTCCAGTTTTGATTTTCATTTCTAGTTCAAGTTGTATTAAAGTGAAATCTCAAACTGGACAATAATTTTGAAACAGAGAGAGTAATAATTTTATTAATATTTGTTCAATTCATCGCACTTTTTACACTTTTACATCTTCTTATATTCTCAAAAATAAAAATACTAAAAATAAACATGTACTGAAAAAACGACATTATATTAAATATAATGACAGAGTCACGGAATTGGCTGGGTGTCAATAAGCAGAGTCATAACTACTTAACCCTCTCACTTCACTTTAATACCAACCGCCTCAGTTGGTTGGCGGTAGTAGTTTTGTCTCCCACACGCAAAAATGAACTTGTAAATGATTTAGGAGCCATTTGTTTGGTTTGAAATCTGTAACGTTTTGATTATTTTTGCTGTTTGATGATTAATCTCATTTTCACCTTTATTATTACTAGTAGTACTTATTTTTAACGGCAAATTATCTGGTATACCGGGGGCACCGTGTACCCCCTGCGCGTGTACTTTACTCTCTTAAAATAGCGTTAGTCCGCTAGATAATTCAGTTTTTTTTTTCTTTTTTTTTAAATGCGGCATATATAAATTACCAAATTCATTCAAATTTTAAAAATTTTGTGATGGAGTATTATAGTTGGGTGACGGCCGGCGGCGATCGAGGCGTTGAGGCGGCAATGGGAGTCGGCAATCGAGGCGTTGAGGTGGACACGGCTGGCGGCGATCGAGTCGTTGAGTCAGCAAATCAAACTGTCCATTTACAATTTGTGGATAACCAGTTTACACAAGAATCAAATATAAAAAAAACATGGATAATCAGTTTACAACTTGTGGATAACCAGTTTACACCTTCTGGATAACCAGTTTACACTTTCTGGATAACCAGTTTACAACTTGTGGATAACCAGTATGAAATAGGTGGATAACCAGTTTACACCTTGCGGATAACCAGTATAAAATGGGTGGATAACCACAAACAAAATTTGGACAAGCACCCCGTAGCACACACGCAGGAAAACATGGATAACCAGTTCAGATATAGTGGATAATCAGTAATAAAAAAATATAAAAACATGGATAACCAGTTCAGTTTATCCATGCCACATAGAGTCGTTGAGACGGCGACGGCGTTCAGCGATCGAGGAAAGGCTTCGGGGCAGGTTGGTAATCGGTTTGTGTCCCCTCTTAATACAATAACACACTCTCTTTACACACACACTCTCCTTACACACACACGAAAAAAAGATTACCTTAGCTACATTGGCGTGCTCGGCGGGGCGGCGCAGCCAGGGCAGGTTGGTGAACTGCGATTCCGATAGCCGCGGGAGTCGTTTAGTTTATCATAGGGGAGGGGGGGCGAAGCCCCCCAATTAACATGTCGTTTGCTTCTTTAAGTAATAGACTCTCCTGGTGGCGGTGATAATCGGCGGGGGGTTGCGAAACTGTCCATTTACAACTTGTTGATAACCAATTTACACAAGAATCAAATGTAAAAAAAACATGGATAACCAGTTTACACCTTCTAGATAACCAATTTATAACTTGTGGATAACCAGTTTACAACTTGTGGATAACCAGTATGAAATGGGTGGATAACCAGCAATTATGGCATGGACAACCATCACATAGCACACGCAGGAAAATATGGATAACCAGTTCAGATCTAGTGGATAATCAGTAACAAAATTATGGATAATCAATAAATTATGGATAACCAACAATTGTGTGTGTTTGTGCGTAAGGATGAAAACAATTTTGTTTGTGCATTTAATGTAAATGTAAAAAATGTTGAGCGCGTGTATTTGGTGGGGGTATACGGTATATCCGGGTACACTAGATACGGACTCTTTTTAACTTTTATCCAGCTTGTCTTTTGATGTGTCTCTTTAACAATAAAATAGCGTGAAACAATGTTTCAGATTATCGAATGATTGTGTAACAAATCAAGACTAATGGGAAGTCAGTCCTAATTCCTTGTCATAAATTCATAATCAGTACACATTATTCATATTTACTAAAAAAAAACATATCTTTAGGTTTCCAAATTCAAATGTTGTCTGTCCAATAAACCAATGAAACAAGAACAGGTGGCCTGGCATGGCTACCTACCTTATTTTCAATTCAATTTCTAACCAAATTTCTCACAAAAAAAAAATGTCAAAGTCACTTTGGGCAGAACTTATAAACAGACAGATCCTTCACGATACTGATGTAGGATTCTTTGTAAAAAAAATTAAAAAAAAAAAAGAGTGAAGCCAATGTTCATTTTTTCCTCATGTAGTAGCTTTCACCATTTCAAACAAAAAATGTAGTAGCTTTCTATAAATACCAAGTTTCAACGTCCAAGTATTTTGCTTGAATATCAATTTGTCCACATTTACCATTTTTACTTCCAACATTATTCATGGCTTCCCTTGATGCTTTTCACAGCCCTTTTGGCTCAAAATTGCAAATTGAAGCAATGCAGACGGTGATGCCGACAAAGCCAACTGATCCAAGACAATCAATTCAAGTCTGTCTTGATGAAAATCCATGTTCAGGAGGGATCCTCAAAAGGTGCTTCAACATCGTTATGTGCTACAATAAGCCAAATTCAGGGGATGAAACCAGTGTTTCCTCCGGTTCTGTTGTTGCCGGATGGATTAAGGAATCACTGGGAAAGGCATTGTCGGAACAACCGTTGCTCGCCGGAAGGCTAAGGCCAAAACAACATGATGATCGGAAAGGGGAGATGGAGATCGTGTCGAATGATTCAGGGGTTAGAATGATTGAAGCAAGATACCCAATGACCTTGGCAGAGTTTTTGGACATAAAGGAGAAGAAAGAAACAGAGGAAGCTGAACTTGTGTTTTGGGAAGATTTAGACAAGGAACAAAATCCTCAGTTCTCCCCTTTGTTTTATGTCCAGGTTAGTTTTATATTCTACATTTGGCTCAAAATTATTGCCTTATTTATTGTAATCCCTCCGTCCTGAAATTATTGTCCAGTTTGGATTTTTAGTTTCAGTACGAAATAAATTATAAGTGAAAATCACAATAATTTTGGAACAGAGGGAGTACAAGACAATGATTTTGGGACGAAAGGGAGCGGTATCTTTCCTGTTATAATGTCTTATCAAATTAAGGACTGCCATTTGTGATGCTTTTTGACCGACATTTTTCAAGTTCTTCAGGTGACAGATTTTAGCTGTGGTGGATACTCAGTTGGGATAAGTTGTAGCCTTCTTCTGAATGATCCATTTGCCATGATTACTTTTCTCAAGAGATGGACTGATACTCACATTGAAATGGTCTCCAGAGCTGATGCACCCAAAATACCAATATTTTATCGTCCCAATCTCAGGCAAAAGCAAAACATCCATTCTTCTGCTCTTCCATTTGGCACTAATACAAAACCATCTTCTGGCCAATCTGTAATCTTCAACATTTCCTCAGAAGTTTTGGACTTGGAAAGTGACATCCACAAGAAATTTGCAGACATCTACATTGATGAAGCAGAGCAGAAGCTCGGTCAGAAAACGGGTCCAAACTTGAAGGTGTCCTTGTTGCTGAAAGAAGGAACAAAATCAGCAAAAGATGTTAAAGTAAGGAACTTTACAAAAGACACACTGATTCAGAAACCATCTGTGATTATCAGTGGTTCTAAAAATTGGGATGATTTAGGGGTTAATGACATATGTTTCCAAGAAGGAAACAAACCTGCTTCTGTGTCATGCTGGATCAACTCTGTCCCCGATGAAGCCCTCGTGATGATTGTTCCTTCCGTTGAAAAGTATGCTTCAGTAATGAAAGTTGTAATCACTCTTCCTGTTTGCTAGTTGTTTTTTTTTTTCCTAAAGAGTTCAGCAAGGAAAAAATCACAATGAATATGAATCAATTTGACTTTTAACAGAGTGCATTGTGTCTCCCCAAAGAACTTTACCCTTGTCCTAACATCAAACAATGTGTTTTATAAATTTGTTCCACTGTAGGTAGAATATGACTCAGCCAAACTGACAAAGAGTCCCAATGGCCTTAACTGACATTGATGAAGCAGAGCAAAAGCTAGGTGAAAAAGCAGTTCCAAACTTGAAGGTTCCTTTGTTGATGAAAGAAGGAACATCATCACAAAAAAAAAAAGAACTTTACAAGACTTACTGATTAGAAGCCAATCAACAAACATGTAGTTCAGAAACTTGGAATGATTTAGGGATTAATGACATATGCTTCAATTAAGAAGGAAACAACCCTGCTTATGATATGCCTGTTTATTCCTTCTCTTGATAAGAATGATTTAGAATGAAAATTGTAGTCATTCTTCCTGTTTCCTGGTTGTATTCAATCTTTGTCCCCTAATACTTTAAATTAGTTCAACAATCATTGGACCTTTCCAATGCATGGTAATATGTGCTATAGAAGATATTTTGAACATGCTCAAATAACTTTTTAGTGTATTTATATTGTTTACTCCTTCCATTCCAAAAGTCCAAACCTAAAAATTCAAACATGATAATCATTTTAGGACAAAAAGAGTATTATCTCTCTCTTTTTTCTTTTTTAGTTATTTGTCATATCACTTTTCCATTGGGATCAACTACTCAATAAATCTCACCGTGGAAACACAACTAATTAATCCCTATAGTCCTAATTTAGTATTGATTTGTGCCTTATAATTAGGAGAGAACAGAAATTGTAATTTTAACTGCTATACATGTTCCGTGTTTAGTTTTTACTAACAGCATTGCGCTAGTAAAAATTTAAAATTTCTAAGTGTAATGTTACTATTACAGATTTTTAATTCGGACCGGAATAATAGATCAATTGTACTTTTAGGTGCTATGTGTTCCATTTTTAGTTTTTAGTAACTCCATTGCACTAGTAAAAATTTCAAATTTGTGCTGAGTTTACACTCAGTCCCCTAACAAAGTTTCTATTGCAGATTTATACATTGCAAAACAATTGATCTGAAATACAAATCTTTTAATTCTTTGTAAAGTAATAAAAACCGAAAAAAAAGAGAGGATTATATGAATTAAATACATGAAGGTCAAAGATGAGAGGCCAAATGGAATATAAAGGTGATTATTAAGGACAAGAAGTGCAATTATTTTCCTCAAATGCATAGAAATTGTGAAACCAGCCACAATATTCATCTTATTCGCCGACGAAGCAATTTATTTCGATAGTTCTTGCAATCACATCCCTTCTTCAACTAACAACTCTCTTCATCTCATTTGTTGGCAAGAAGTGAAAAAAAGAGATTCATTTCATACAGAAAGCAGCCATGGCGGGAGTGATGTTTGATTACCCATAGGAGTGAGTCTCATTCCTTTATCTTTCACTGAAGAAGAAGGGGTTTTGAAAAAGCAAAGAACAGAATCTTGTTTCTCTTTTCAACTGAAAGGAAAAGCGAAATGGATACCAGTGGGAGTAGCAGAAACAATGGAGGAGTGATTGTTACAAAAGAAAGAACGATGAGATTAGAGAACCCTTTTTCTGTTAAAGTGGGACAAGTGTTTACTGGCTTTGGAATCGGTTGTGGCATTGGAATCGGTGTTGGTCGGCCTATAAATTTAGGTGATTATACAGTCTGCTGTATCTCTCTTATCAGTTCACTGTTATTTTCCTTTTGAAATTACTACTTGTTGGGTAAAAATATGAACTTTGGAGAGTTATTTGGACCTAATCATGGCAAAGCTCAAAATTCATGTAATGTTTTTTTCATCCCCTTTTATGACATCTCTTCACATTGTCCTCTTTATAAGTGTTTTTTCTTCCTTTTCTTTTCGAAGTATGGTGTAGTTTGCATAAGTGTTTGGTTACTTTTCTGTATTTTCTGTTTGAAGTATGGTGTAGTTTTTTCACTGTATGTTTGAAATTATGGACATTTTGTGTTGATCTCATATCCAATTTCAAGTGGGGGTCTTGTCTTTAAATTCTTGTTGAAATATGTGTTTCTGAATTTGTTAATGGAGATGATCAGAATATCTAGTCAGGGATTTTTTTCCCCTGAATATCAAAGAGTTTACTTTCCTGTTTATTATATCAGAAAGCTTGAGATATTAATTCTGTTTATCCTGAAATCTGCGGTACTAACATCTACCAATACCTAGCTGCAAGCTAGATACACGATACATTGATTTTGATTCATATTCATCTACTAGGTCCATGTTAAGGGCTTATGACTACTCTTCTAAAGAATCCCATGTCAATCATCTGGTTATCGGAAGCTCATTACTGACCGAGATGACTATAAGCTTTTAGTGACTTTCATGTTATGTTAATTTACAGCTGAGCGATGCCCTGAATTCGTCTTCTTCTTCTTCTTTTTTTGGGTATTTATTTTTTCCACTCAGCTCACCTGTTGGGGGTCCTTGAATTGATTAACTGCTTTTTGCGTCAAATTGCACAAATTAGACCAAGTAATTATGTGTCACTTCTGTCACTTGAGGGAAATAGCAATTTGCATTTTGTTCTCTTTTACTCTACGCTCTTTATTAATGTCTTATTCCATGATTTAGCTGCAATCCCAATGCTGAACCAAGTGATGGGTGCTGCTAGAGGTGCAACAGATGCTTTTTCTGGCGTTGGAAGACATGTTAATAGCTCTGTATGTCCTCTACATCTTGCTTTTGATTTATTACTCTTGCAGAACATGTGGTTCAAAAAGCTTTATATTTGTTATCACACAAATTCCTCAGGATTCTTTATTACTTGGTAATTATATAGTTGAGGAAGTTTGGGGCAAAGAACATTGAAGCAGGCATTGGATGTGGAGTAGGTTTCGGCCACGGCTTTGGAGTTGGTAAGTACAGCTAAATCTAAGCATATGCTAATTCATGAGTCCTATTAGTCACTGGAGCTTACTTTCTGAAATTCTCATGGTGAAGGATTAAAGTAGGTCTAGAGGAACTAGATGCATATTTGTGGAAATCTATATGAATTGTTGGCTATTTTTCTTATAGCTGACAGCCTGACACTACATAGCTGCATTACAGGTCTGGCCATCAAGCCAGGTGTGGTGCATCAGCTTCAGTCATGCCTTATGGTATGTATTGCATATGGCCAATGATAATTTTCGAATGCCTAATAAGGAGATTCCTTTTGTATCTGTACTAAGTCTCTACAATTTTCCAGCAAACCATGGCGAATGTAATTGAAAGGTTGGGAATGTCTCCAAGCCTGCCTGCTATTCAAGGTGTCTTTCCTGGTGGCCTAAGTATGGGAAATGAACCCTCAATTTCAAGTCCAGTTGGAACCATTGCGAGCATCGCAAAGAAAGCTCCTTGCAACATGCCTGATGGCAGCCATGGAGAGGGAACTGCAATTTTATCTCATGAAACTGTAGCTTCTAGAATATCTCCTTCTGCTTCAACATACAGCAGTCGAACTGAAAAGGTCGTCGGCACTTTCTTAGAGAGTTCTCTTCTGAAAGAGGAAGAGAAAGAAGTAAATGGCTTGGTATGTGATGTGAACCTTGTCTGTCTTGCTAACTCATGGGCAATAAGCATCATGTAGAACAATGAAGTTTAAAGTGTGTGACCAGATTGTTGGAATAATCTGAAATCTCTACTACTTTCTGTAACAAAATCTTGTTTGTTCAGTTGTGTCTAGGCAAAATTATTTTCTCTCTGTTTAATGTCCATTAGTCGGTTGGACATATATGTTTTTTATGCATTCTCAGTCAGTTGTCAAAACCAAATTTCTGGAATGCACATGTTGGTACTTGAAAGTTGAAACTAGTGAATACTGTGAAAGATATGCTTCTTTTGCACTCACTGATCTTGATGTGAAACCTTGATTAATCTTCCTTCCTTTCCCTTTTACTCTGCATCCTTGCCTTGATCCCAGCCTTGCAAGCCCTTTCTCCTTAACTAGCAGTTACAGTGATAACAATGACCATGTTTGCCTCTCAGTGTTCATATTCCATGTCTACGGAATGTTAAATAGATTTTCTATTTTAATCCTTGGCTTCGATTCTTGCAGGCTGAGCAGTTACGGTCTGAGAACAATTTACTTCAAATGGTAATTTTTCGCATATCAATTAGTATTTATGATGTAACTTAATTTGAGATGATTTTATTTGTCAACCAGTTTAGAGTAGATTTAGAATCACCTGCATTTTTTGTGTAAAAAAAGCACCAAGGAGTAGTGAAATAATTATTTTCAGTTAATTTTATTCACAAATGACCTCGTTGATAGAAGTTTTTGTAAAGTTATTTGACCATAGTTTATTTTTAGGTAGCGACACTTAAAACCCTGGTGACTGTTACATGCATATTATGGATTGTGCATGTATCAGTGTATTGCCAGAGTAATCTAGAATTAGCCTTCTAAGAAACAGAGTGCTTCTGTTCATAATTTGGATTGCTTGAATTTTTTGAAAATTTTGAAAAATGATGTGACATACACTTTCAGGTTTTGAGGCACCAAAGAGTTATTGAGGAACTGATGGAAGAAAACAAGAAGCTTCACAAAATACTGGTGGAAGATCTGAAAATCTCGCCAGATAGGCTTCAAGATACCTTTTCCAGTTCGATTGATAGTAAGTCACCTTGTACTGAATGTTTTGATTGCCGTAGAAGGCGGAGAAGAAGAGCCAGCTAGAATATTTTTAAAAGTTTTCACTGTTCGTGCGAAATTTTTGCGTTAGGCTTTTCTTATTCGGAGGAATCAATTAGTTTTTGCACCTTATAGATTGAGAAAAGTTAGTGAAAACCATCACATTGATGTCAAAGAATCTGATAAATGTTCACAAAAGGTTAGAGAAAAGTTAGGGACCTTTGTTTCTGTCTCCTTTGCCCTATACTTTTGTAGATCTACCTATCTTGGTATGAATAGATGCTGTTTCTTGTTTGGTTGTGCAGCAGCTAGTAACCTTAGTAGTGATTTTCCTTCAATGCCAAGTTATTTGTTTCTTTGTTCTGTCTGGAAATTTTACTTATGCCACTAGCGCTGTAAATAGAATACCACTGTATTTGTGTGCAACCATGTTGAACCTGGAAATGTTTGACAACACGTTCTTTCTGTGAGGAACTAATGAGAAGGTCAAAAGCTTTGGTGCTGCTTGAAATCCTCATGATTTTAGGAGTTGGTTAAAATTGTAGGGTTCTCATCAATATAATGGTAATCCGGCTAGAAAAAGAAAGAAGAAACAGAGGAAGACAACTGAAGAGTGAATGTTTAAACTGGAAAATTAATTGGAACTCACAAAAGCTGTTAGCTTACGGTCAGTTAACTACTTTGGGCTCTAATTAAGGAGCTAGGAGGTCTGCCTTTGCTGGATGTTAAGAATCCTTTCTGATTTTTTAGATAAGCGTCCTTCTCTCAGGCTTAATATTTTCAAATCTTCTATGCCTGCCTCATGATATATCAACATCGGATGACATATCAGGTCATTCAGGTGCCTGTTGTGCTCAATTGGTGGGTCAATCTACGCTGTTGCATAGCAGAAATTGCAACTGCAAACACATTTACTTCTCTTTCTGTTAGTGTTTTTTATGGGATTAAGAAAGCATGTGAAGTTTGACAATCATTCTTGGTCATATTCATTCGTCCCAATTGAGCCCCCACCTTACCATACCTCTCTAGTGCTTATGCTCTCAAGTGTCACCAACAACATCCCATTCCCTTTGATTCTCATGAGAAATGTCCCATTTTCTGAAAAGGAAGTTGTCCCTTCTAGTTTCCTCCACATCATGTGCACTTCCAGCTAGCACTTTAGATTTTGCTTCCTTCTGAGTTCCACTAAGATCCGTAGAAGTTCATCATTTTTTCATCCTTCCAGAACTATTTTCAGTTTTAAGGGTTGACTAACACCGATTTTCGCAAGAAGACCAACTTTCTAAGCTTAAGCTATTTCCTTTGCCCACTAAGTCAGAATTGATTCTGGTGCTTCAGAATATGAAATTCTCGGTATGAATCAAGCCTGCAACTAAAATTTGACGCATGCCAGCACAAAATTCTGCAGCTCTTTGTAGTTTACTAAATTTTATTGGTTCAAAATTACACTCAAGCAATAAACACAGCGTTTATTAGGCTAATTCAAATTGTTACATAAGGGAGTCATGAATTAATCTCCTAGCCATCTTCATCCCCTAACATTACTTACGGGCACAAGAAAGAATCATCCACAAAGACTACGGGAAAACATTGAATCCAAGCAATGCAGAAACCATATGGTATACAACAATGTAGCTGACAATATGTCATAGGAAACAACTCACTGTGACACAACTCATAGAAGAAGTAGTTTAGACAAGAAGTGCAATTCCTCCAAGCAATGCAAGCAGAGCAGCAGTACAACTTCCCTGCACAACAAAAGCACCTGAATCTGGTTTTGAAGGAGTGGCTCGGACTGCAGGTCGCGGTGATGTAGATGGTGACGGTGATGGTGATGTTGATGGCGATGTAGAAGGTCCCATCGGTGCAGGTGGAGATGTGGCCAATGCAGGTGATGAGTCAGGCGCAGATGGTGCCGGTGGGGAGCTTATAGAACCCGGAGGCGCGCCAGGTGACTTGGCTGGTGGTAATGAAATGGTGGTTGGAGGTGGAACAACCGTGGCGACGGGTGGTTGCGAAGGACCTTGAGAGGCAGAAAAACCAAGGAATGTTAGCAATGCGAAGATGAGCAATGCACTAGAGAATGCCATTACTCTTGGGAGGAGTGGAAGCACTGGCCGAAATGATTGTAGATTATTAAACACGAGAAGATGATGAGGACACTAAAGGAGAGAACAGTATTTCAGACTCAAAGTTGTGGGAGAGTTTGAGGTTTTGATATATATATATATATATATATATATATATATATAGGGAGCAAATGTTTAGAAAAAGTTAAGGAAATAATCTCATGGGTCACAATGTTGGGTGCACCTCTTCATACAATTATTTTCTTCAGAAGAAAAAAAAAATTGAAATTGTTCTGCAAAGGGTAGACAGAGCTATTATAGGTTCTAACCTCTCTCATTTGGAGACTACCTTAGATTCTCTGAGTCTCTCATAGTCTTAAAAGGAGGAGGTCAAATTTTGAGCGACTTATTACAGTAGAGATGAATTTATCCATCACCAATAGGATTTTCAAAAAAGTATTTGGGTGAAAATTTACTTAGTATTGATGGGGGGTGGGGGGGTGGGGGGGTGTTGAGGGGTGGTTTGATATTGACAATACTATAAATGTGATATTTTTGTTTCAAAGTAATTGTTCAATTTTTATTTTCATAGAATTTGTACTAAAATAAAAATTCAAAATAGACAATAATTTTGAGACGGACATAATATAATTTGTGCCGACCACTTCTCGCTTTGGTTGCGTTTTATGTCGCTTTCGCCTGGTTGTTTTCTTTCCAACATTATTCTTGATAGGACTCTTCAAGTTTCGATTGGAACGTGTGGATGTAATCCTTTTCTTTTTGTTCCTTTTGTTTCTCTTAGAATTCTCAATAAATCAAACTTTTAATTTTCAGATCAAGGAAGCATATCACAGACGGTAAACTATTTATTCTTGTTTGTTGGTTAACACTATTTCATTCATGCTTTCTGTTTTTCTTTTTCTTTTTTTTTGTTACAAAAAATTAAAAAAAAATAAATAAAAGAGGGAAGATGGAATTTATTTAATGAAAACCAGACGTATGTGAAACGACCACAAACCGTAAAACCAAAATACATTATGGGTATGGGAAGCTAAATGTGACAAACACGTTCTTTACAACATGTAGGGATGTATGTAACTAGAGGTACATTTCTTCACTTTAATAAATAACTAGATGTTTGGCCCAGGCAGATGCCCGGGCGCCCCTTCTAAATTACTATTTTATTAAAATCTAATTGAATTATTATTTTTTGAGGAATTAATTTGGCGTATATATCATTTATGCTATGATTTAGGGCTTAAAAAAATATACGTATAAATTTGAGGTTATAAGGGAATAATAAATAATTAGTAAGACATTATTCTTAATTGCTGGATTTAGGTATTTTTATTTTTTGTTTATATTAAGCGTGCAAAACTATACGATTGGACATTTGAATTTGAATTAATATATCCATTCGTTTCAAATGTAACTGATCCTTATTTGTAGTAAAACATGTGTTTTTTTTAAAAAAAAATAAAATTATATAACTTCTAATTAAAAGAGACTTACACGTGGCAAAAAGACTCCTGAAATCTAAAATATAGTGCATTGGAGCCAAAACAGATGCATACTTAGTTGCCACATAAGCTTCATGTCTTCTGCTTTAATAGGGTAAAAGGGATTAATAACTATATAAGTATAAAAAAACAAAAAACAAAAAAAATTCTCATGAGTCCCATGAAAACTCCAAGACTTTTTGCGGAATCCTCACGAGAGACTCTCAATATACCATAAAAATTAAAGAATCCACACATTCATCCTCTCTTTATTCTCGGTAGCTTTTTAAAGATAGAATGAAAAATAAAAAGAAATTTATCAAACATGGCTACTTTTTTTTTTTTTGAAACGAATTAAAACTTACATCTATTATACTTTCTCCGTCCCATAATTATTGTCCAATTTGAGTTTTCATTTTTAGTTCAAATTGTACTAAAAGCGAGATCTCAAATTGGACAATAATTTTGGGACAGAGAGAGTACTAAAAAATATCATTAACTATGGTTAACTTATATCATCAACTTGTGTTAGACCACGGTTTCATCATGTCATTGTATCATCCATCACTTAAGGCTTTTGGGTTATCCTTTTTCTTTTTGGTACCAGAAGCATCGCATTAGCTTGCTACAATATTATATTGAGAGAAATTTTGGATTCCAAAAAGGCCAACTTGATGTAGTAAAAAAGAGTAGATCTCTTGCCAGAAAACAATTAATTTATCAAAACATTTTTCTAGTCATAACAAATTGATTTTTTTTATTAATATTAAAAAAAAAGAGTTAAAAGATAATCCACATCGAATATTGAGATTTGTATTATATCATAAAATGTACTCCCTCCGTCTCATAATTATTGTCCACTTTGCCCAAAAGATTTTGTCCCAAAATTATTGTTCAATTTGACTTAAAGATTTTGTCCCAAAATTATTGTTCAATTTGACTTTTTATGAATCAAGTTACACATTTGTCCTTAGTAAAAAACATTTTCCATAAAATCTTAGTGGTTAAACAATTACTTATGTAGGGGGATATCCGGTTGTTTAAGGTAAAATATAGTTAAGTTTGACCAAAAATAAAATCTTTCATTTTAGTAAAACTGGACAATAATTATGGAACGGAGGGAGTACTAATTTTTTACGCCCACCATCCAATTCTAATAATCAATTTTGTTATTTGGTTCGTCTAAAATACGACGTTGCTCTTGCAAAACAAGAGTTGATAACCCGTCACATGTATGCCTAAAGTAAATCAAACAAAAATTGAAGAATGTATTGAGATCAGAAACTAGACCTCAGATGTCCATTCTCAGCGTCTGCAGGGTGGAAACTACTAAAACATATCCACAACAGCTCTACATGATGCACATTTAAAAATGCACAAAACCTTTGGCAAAGTTTGGCTTCTCTTGTCCATATGGACGCCAAATCTTGCCATCTCCTCCATCCAAGTTCATAAGTATTCTAGACTCTGATAGATTAGCCATACCTCTAGCTTAAGGGGATGTTTTTGTATCTCAGCTGCTGGCTCACCCCAATTATATTATAAAAAAAAATTTAAAAAAAAAAGCACAAAACCAGCTCTTCTATATCTACATGGTGTTAGCATCCTCAACGGGTTCAACATGACATTAGTTTACTGTGTTGCCTATAGACAACATAATTTTCCGAACAAACATCTTGCCCGCATTTGACCAGCATCCACATTCATCCGCGAAATGTCCTTTTGAACTTTTATAAACAGACTATTGATCACTGTCGGCCACTCAAAAGAGGTTGAGATGTTGAACCTGCAAAGTTCGAGATAAATAAGTGCACATATATAATCAAGGGCTGAAAAAATTCTAGCCCTAACCTTAAGTAAAATGACAAAGAACACGAGTTTAACAAATGAGAAATCATCAATACGACGATATAAGAACACACAATACAAGGACGTACGAAACAAGAACCCTCGCATTATGCATCAAATCATACACATAATTTGCCACCCATACGTCATTTACTACATCCTAAGGAAATAAGAAGATATAGTTTCAAGAACATTGGTTACCTCCAACACCATCTTGTCCTGGAGACGACTGACGAGAGAACTTCTCACGGAGCTCATTTCCCACCAAATGAGATAAACAAAGACCAGCACCAGCTGCACAGACAACCAGCATCCCAAAAACAGAATTCCACCCATATCTAGAGAAAAATCCAGTTAAAAGTGGGCCTGCTGCAGCACCTATAGACCCAGTTCCATCAATAATAGCAGTGACTGTAGCTAGCGCTCGAGAATCTCCTTTTAAAGATTTGTGAGTACCAAGATCTGCCGAAACTGCAGTCGTTATCAGTGCATAAGGCCCATTCACACATAGGCCAGCAATAACCATAAGTGAAATATTTATGGTATTGGATATGCTCCCATACTTCCGGTATAAGATCATAGCAGGAATCGACGCATACATGAAGGCAGCAGCTGTAATTGCTCGAGCCTTAAGCTTGTCAGATATATAACCAGCCAGAATTCCACCAACAATACCTCCCACATCAAAGAGGGTGGAAAGGTTCCCCGCAGATTTCACTGAGATGTATTCTCCTCCAATGGCTATAGTCAAAAGTTATGAAGTTATGGATTAAATAAGTGAATAAGCCAAAAGCGAAAAACACCATAAGCTATCAATATCTATATCTCAGTAACATTTTGCAAGAGATTCCAAAGATTTGATTATGAAATCACCCTTTGCGTGACATACATTTGGCGGGAATTTCACCACTTTTAGGAAAGAAATGACCAATAATTTCAGTAATCATGTATAATTTCATCATATAACAGGGAACAATAGAACTTTGATATCTTTTTTATCATTAGCGTACAGCTTGAATGTTCTTTTGCTTAGAAAAATCTCCGTACAACATGCTCCCACCAATAAATCAATAAGTTAGATGAAACATGGCATTAATGACTGAAGGAAGTGATTTGGCAAATAAGGAAACAAACGCAAATCGAGAGAGTCATATACATTGCATTAAAATCAAAGAAGAGAAGTTGCATCAAGTACTAAGATTACCTGTCTGGCTGAGATAAAATGGCAACCAGTACAAAAATGTGTATGCAACTAATTTTGCGAATAGGAGGCAAAAAGCGAATTGACGAACTCCAGGTATTCTCCAAGCACCAACAAACCCAATACTTCTCCTACTGGAGGCAATAATCGGAGTCTCGACATTCTTTTGTTCATCCAATGCCATAACCTTGTCTGCATTCTTTTGTTCCTTCAATGCCATAATCTCATCTGCATTCTTTTGTTCATCCAATGCCATTATCTCATCTGCTGTTTGTGCTTCCACATCATTAGGCCTAGTGGGACCAACTTGATGACCTCCAGTAGAAATGTCATTCGGACTGGAAAATCCAACATCTTCAGGATAAGCGGGCAAGAACAAATACACCATTATCCCACCAAGAAATATAAAACCACCTGGAAGAATAAAAGACCAACCCCAACCATAATCCAAAACACTAGCAGCAAGCAGAGATCCACAAATATTCCCTACAGAGGTATGAGCATTCCAGACTCCCATGATCAATCCTCTCCTCTTCTTCCCAAACCAATTTCCCACAACAGCGACAACCGAAGGCCATCCCGTGGATTGAAACAACCCGGCAAACATTTGCATGATTAGATAAAACCAGAACACGTGAATGTTGCAAAAATAGCCGACACCAAAAAGGCCGACAAAAATCCCACTAGCAATCATCCCAGTAGACAAAAACAATCTAAGATCCCAGGAATCAGCCACATGTCCAGCAAAATACATTGCAAAAGCATAACATGCAAGAAACGCCACATCAATCACCCCCAATTTCAAAGTCCCATCTTCATCATTAAACGGCTCCCATCCTTTGTATTTCCCTCTTTCCACAACACCCAAATTGTCCTTAACAAAGAAATCACCAATCGGCCATGGAGCAAAATTAACTCTGGTGTTGTTATTTGGTTCGGGATCAAGAACACTCTTCACTATACTACTGGGCTTCCTTGAAGCATGGTAACACGTATAAGCAATGAAGGTAACCAGCAAAACTACGTAACTATAAGTATTAAAATTCCAATCTTTTCCTCTAATTCTTCGGATTGCGGAAATCCCAGGTGGGTTTCCCCTCCTTCCACTTCTAACAACATCTGGCCCCATTATCTAAAAATCCAATCCCAAAATTTTATCAAAATCCCTAGATAAAGATTTCACCTCCAAGAATCCATAATCAAACCCGAAACAGAATTTGCTCTGCCCCCCCAAAAAAAAAACAAAATCAGAATCAGAATTCAATGCAGAATTGTAAGAGCAAGAGAAAATCTGATTTACCTGAAATTGTTAACCAGTAATTTGCGACAAATGAATGAGCAGATTCTAAGGTGAAAACGGTTATCGTTTTTGTTCTTTTTTTGGAATTTTCTCCAGTTTTAGGGGAAGAAGAAGAAGAAGAGGAGGAGGAGAGAGAAAATAAAGGCGAGGTTGGCGGGAGAGTCGAAGACGTGAATACGTGGCAAGCTCAATTTCTGACAGTTTTCGTGTCTCTCACAAACACTAAAAACTCGGGGTTGACGGACCTCGTCAAGAAACGAAAAGTTGTAGGGAAAAAAATGCATAATAGTATAATATTAGGGGCATAATCGAATTAATGTATAAACTAGAGGTTATATTTTGCTAAAAGTTCTAAATTGGGTCGCTCTGCCTATGGCTATGGATAAGGAGAAGGATTGATTTGATCTTTCTTCATTTCTTAAGGCTTCACAGTAATAAACTGTCCATAGTCTCCAATTCCTTTAACAAATTTTCCTTTGTTTTTTCTCCTTCAAATTTTATGCCCTGGTGGTTGTAAGATGAGTACCAATGTCCTTCCCCAGGTGAGCAATTGGTTTACATTTTTTCACTGATGTATCTTTTGTGTTTTTTTTTTTTTTTTTGAGCTTTTTTCTGGAATTTTTATTTTTGATTTTTTTGGTGGGTTCTTTTGGTGTATTTGCAGGCTTTATTTATGGTTCCTAGGAATGGCACAGAGCGAGGGCTGACAAAGTTGAGGTGTGCGGCTTTGGTTTCTGGGCGCCCTTCGTCGCTCTGTTCATCTGTTTCGCTACACTCAACTGGGTTTTTCTCTGGGAGCTTCAAGGGCCTTCGGGATATTGTGGTGGTTCGAGCTGAAGAGAATTCGGCCGAAGCAGAAGTGGAAAATGTTGGTAGTGAGGAACCAGTTGAAGGGGCTGAAGCAGAGGAAGAGGAAGTTGTTGAGACGGAAGATAGGCCACCTAGGACTCCCAGAATTAAACTGGGCGATATAATGGGGGTAAATTCTCTTTTGTACCATTAGTTCTTTTATTTAGTTTGAGGGAAAATTGGGTTCTGTTTCTTGCCTCTAGGGTAATTTCATGTCCAACTAAATTGGATTTTGTGGAGTAATTTTCACCTTGTTGCATTTAAATTTTGACATTGGATTTAGCTTAAGTAATGGGGAGGACTAGGATGAGGTTGATTGGAGAAGTATAGTGTAACTTTGATTTCAGTAAGAACTTGATATGTTTGTCTAAGATTATGCTTTGTTGACAGATACTGAATAAGAGGGCCATTGAGGAATCGGATACTGTCAGGCCGACACCGGATATTAGAACTGGGGACATTGTTGAGATCAAACTGGTCAAACTCTTATCCTTTTTGGTTTCCCTTTTTTTTAAGGTATTCGTGTGCTTTCGTGGTATGTGGGAGCTATAGTGTGGTTTTGGTTTGTAATCGTACAGGAAGTTCCTGAAAATAGGAGAAGGTTGTCAATCTATAAAGGGATAGTGATGTCCAAGCAAAACGCTGGCATTCACACTACAATTCGGATTCGGAGGATCATTGCAGGGATTGGAGTTGAGATCGTGTTCCCAGTGTAAGTATTAATTATATAATTAAGCGCATCATATTTGTTTTCTGTTTGATTTCTTTCCCAGCCGTGTGGCAGTGTTTACAGTAATTAGTTTCAATCTATGCTCTCAAATTTTAAGTCATCTTTCCTTTGTAGTTTCTTTTTGCTACGAGGAAAACACAAATCTTGGATTATAGAACAGATTGCTTCTGTGAAGAAGGACAGTGATGCTCGTAACGCATGACTTTAAGCTTTATGTGTTATGTTATTGTTTGCATTGAGATCTAGCATTACATCTTGTGTTGATTTTAGGGTCTGGTAAAAGAAATGTTATGATTAATTGCCACCAGCGACAGTTTGATGGACTTAAAAGATGTGAATAGAATTTTTAGGCATGAACTAGTAGTTCCAAAATGTAATAACGCACATTCAATTCATTGTAGAGTACTGTAGCCATAAAAAGTTTTTATAAGGGTAACATGGAAAACCTTAGATCTGATAGCCAGTGTAATATAATACGCTCTCCGTCCCTGAAAATAATCCGCATTGAGTTTTGAAATTTGTACAAAAAACAGTGCAAATCTCACAACTCAATGTGGACTATTTTTTCAGGACGGAGGGAGTATATAATATGGTTTTGGAGTCTAGTCCCTGCCTTCCTGAGGTATGATCATTATTTCTTCTGTTATGTGTTGCACACGTGACTGAAGTTTCTAAAAGGTTAGTTCTAAGTGATTAACTATGTTTTTTGCGTCGATGTGATGGAATCGAAGTTCTTGCATTAACTTTTGAAATTGAATTCTCCGTTTTCATTATGACATTAGCGTCATAGTGCTTAATGTCATTGATTGTATCACACAATTTTAATTCATTTCAGATGTGGTGACCAGATGAGATTTATCTACCTGCACTGTCAATTCGTGTTTACATCTTCATTTGTTTCCTTGTTTCCCTGTAACTACAGATACTCCCCTGTCATTAAAGAAATCAAAGTAGTCAGCCACCGCAAAGTGCGCCGAGCAAGACTCTACTATTTGAGAGATAAGCTTCCACGGCTCTCCACATTCAAATGATTTTGCCGTAGCTAGCTTTGTAGCTTGAATATGCTGTTGTACTGTTGTTGATTCTTTTTGGGATGTCCTTTGAACTTAATTTTCGTAATGATAGTTCTTTTTGATAAATTCATTACTGTTTCCTAGAGGATATCCGTAAATATTCTGCTCACTGGATTTGCATGTTGTATTCTGAAGAGAACATGTGGCATTGCAACAGTGTCTCAAAATGTTACTTCATGCTTGACACTCAATTCCCTCCAAATATCTAAGAAATCCAAGTATCTGTGAACAGCTCCTTGCATATTATAGTTGAAGTACGCTCCACGATGGCAGCTAACATATAGACTATATTTGGCCATCAGTTTTTTTTTTTTCCTCTTAAATATCAGTTGGTTTTTGAACTTGAAAGTACTGAATGGCTCTTCACTGGGCTTCACCCTTGGAGATGTTGTGAAATCTTTGTCGTATGATCTGAGGTAGGCATTGAAGCATGTATGAGTAAAATAAAATATTCCTTGTTGAACATCTCCCATATCCAGCAATTCAAGAAAAAAACTGACAGAAACTTATAGTTTAGTTAAAATGTTGGAAATGTTATGCGCTTATCACCATTAATACACTTCCACGGAGATGTTGTTAACATTACAGTTTGGACCATAAATTCATGGAGGGTTGTATGCTGCTTGGATCCACCTTTATTTAGGTTTTTGTTTGTGCTTGTCTGAAATCTGAATGCATGCAAAAAAGATTCGGCAGTGTCTTATATTTTTTTCAGTTTCTTAAACATTTATGAGGGACCTTCATCTCTCTCATGTATGCTCAATTGCTCATTAAGCAGAATCTTGATCAAATTTGTGGTAGTTTTATTCTGTTTCCGCAACTAGGTACCAAATTGTTCGAATTATCAACTATCACGTTCACAGCATTGATGGAAACTTGTTTTGGTGATCTTTTCCAATTTGTGGCATAGAAGCAGAAAACAGGAAAAGAGACCTTCACATAACTTCTAAATACGTAGAACTCTATAACCAAATTCATTGACATTAAGACAGCACGCGCCTCACAGGGAAAAATATGAACAGAAATTTGAAGAACAGCAGCAATTAAAGATAAAACAACGACAAGATGAAAGCATCTTGTGATTTTCTTTGGAACTCTTTCAAAGCCAAATAAACAGAACAAAACAATTAGAGCCCATTCCATTGTCAAAGTAACTGGATGATTTGCAGTAAATCAATGTAACATGTGGACTATAATAAGAATGCTAGTGAAAATATTACTATTATTATTATTAGAGTTACATAAATACTGGCAAAAAAAAAAAAAAAACATAGAACTTGAGGTTACTCTTTTACTCAAGAGTTAAGAGGATTAAGCATGCTCCCAACGAACAACCGGACGGCAACGCTGGAATGTTCTCTAATGAGGAAAATGAAGGGATGATCTGCGACAAAGTCGACTTTTTGGGGGGGAACAGATGGAAGAGCATCACAAGAACTTATCCCAACGAGAGCAGTTGCGGCAGCAGTTTCCGTGTTAGAGTGTAAATATAGTAACTAATCTCTTTGTAATTTAATTAGTTACGATGTACAAGTTTACTTTCATGTAATCCTAACCCTAACGATATAAATACAAAAGCTGGCCATCCGGAGGGGGCAATTTTCTGCAGTCCAAATTTATGCCGTCTTCTTTTTATTTTGTTATGGTATCCAGAGCAAGGTTAATCATGTTCTGAAGATAAACAATTTTTTTTACGATCATGGGTGATAATAATGATCGTGTTGACGATTCCGGCAAAGATAAGGTCGTTGCTACCGGTGGCAACAACAATGATATTGTTAACCGGCGATAGATCTCGCCTTATGATTTGACGGCAAGTGATAATCCCAGTTTAATCATCACTAATGTTCAATTCAAAGGCAGCAATTATGAATAATGATCACATTCGATCCGGATGGCTCTTAGGGCTCGCAAAAAATTCGGTGTCTTGGATGGCTCGATCAAGCCTCCCATTGACGATGATGATCTCCTCGCAGGATTGATGGGCGAATAACAGCCTCTTGTGTGCTTGGATCTTGAATACCATTGAACCAGCTACCAGGTCCACCATTTCGAGTTGGAGGAGGCTCGTGAATTATGGGTTCATATTCGGTCGCGTTTTTCCGTTGTTAATGGCACACGAATTCAGCAATTGAAGTCATCCTTGGCTGAATGCAAGCAACGTGGGCTGTCCGTGACTGCCTACTACGGGAAACTGATCAAGCTTTTGGATGAATCGGCCGATTACGAGCAAACTCCGCTGTGCAAATGTGGCCTCTGTCGGTGTAATCTTGCTGCTGTTTGGGATCGAAAGAGAGAAGACGAGAAGGTCCATCAGTTTCTCATGGGTTTGGATTCAGCCCTCTATAGTACTGCATGCTCTAATATGTTGGCGCAAGACCCTCTTCCCAATCTTGATCGTGTATACTCTGTCATGATGCAAGAGGAACGTGTTCGTTCGGCGGCAATCGATTCTGAAATTCAGGGTGGTGATGCAACGGCGTTCTCAGTGACTGTTTCTCCTCCAGCGGTGGCGGTGGCGGTTTCTGCCTCACGACCAGGGCTGTCTTCTTCTGTTCCTGGCTCTACTTCGCGTGGACGTGGGCGCCGCTCTGGAGTTGATCGAAGTCAGCAGGTCTGTACGTATTGCGGCCGCCCCCATCACGATGAGCAGTCGTGTTTTAAGAAGATTGGGTACTCAGATTGGTACCGGGGGCCTCGCGGAGTTGCTGCAGGTGGTTCTGGGTCTGCCATCATTCCGACGACTCAAGATGCAGCTGCTAATTGTGGCGTCCTTCCTGCTGGACATGGGAACATCGCTGCTAGTCGCGACAATGGTGCAGGGCGAGGAGTTGGTGGGTTCGAGCTAATGCCGCTCAGGTTCTTGATGCTTCAGCCGGTTCGGTTGTTTTGGGTGATGGAGATAAGGCTATTACTGGCCTTAATGATGATCAGTGGCATAAAGTCATTGATTTTTTGAATTCAGATACTGGTGGGTCAAATGATGCTCTTACCGGTAAGCCTTTTTCCTCTAGATGGATGTACGATTGTGGTGCAACACATCATATAACAGGTTTTTTGACTTATTTGTCGGACATTCGGGATATTTTCGCTTGTCCGGTTTAGCTTCCGGATGGTACTTTGACTCTTGCCAACAAGGGGGGAACGGTGTATCTTAATAGTGATGTGAAATTACTTAATGTTCTGTTTGTTCCGAGTTTACATTGTAATTTGATTTCTTTGTTTCAACTGTTGGATCAATCTCATTTATGTGGTTCAATTCACTAATACATTTTGTGTTATACAGGACTGTACTTCGAGGACAGTGATTGGCGTGGGTGAACAGTTGGGGGGTCTATATTGGTTCCGGGGGACAGTCACTGCGGCTGCTGCTCGTGCCAGAGGTCATCTCTCTACCTCCTTATGGTATCAACGTCTAGGACATCCATCGGCTAGAGTTCTTCAACAGTTGTCATTTTCTGATTCTATTAGTGGTTGTTTGAATAATACATCATGTGATGTTTGTTTACGTGCAAAACACTCTCGAGCTATTTTTCCTGTTAGTAAGGCTCAAAGTGTTGAGCTCTTTCATTTAATACATTGTGATTTGTGAGGACCATATCGCACTCCCACGTTTTCTGGTGCTCGATATTTTTTAACTGTGGTAGATGATTATTCTCATGCTACTTGGCTATTTCTTCTTAATGATAAAATGGAAGTATCTAAGACTTTGCTGAATTTTTTTACCATGGTTCGTCGAGAATTTGACAAGTTGGTGAAAGTTGTGCGTAGTGATAATGACTCTGAATTTCTTTGTATGAGTTCTTATTTTCGTGAACATGGCATCATTCATGAAGCATCCTGTGTTGGGACGCCACAACAAAATGGCCATGTTGAACGTAAGCATCAGCATATTTTGAATGTCGCTCGTGCTTTACGTTTTCAAGCTCATTTACCACTTGAGTTTTGGGGACATTGTGTGTTAACTACCGCCTATTTGATTAATCGTCTTCCTACACCTGTTTTGGATGAAAAATCTCCTTATGAGTTACTATTTGGCAAAGCCCCTTCTCTTGATCATTTACGAGTTTTTGGGTGCTTGTGTTATGTGCATAATCAGGCGATAAATTTGCCTGTCATAGTCGTCGTTGTGTTTTTATTAGGTATCCTTTTGGGAAGAAGGGATGGCAGGTCTATGATCTTGAATTAGGAGTTTTCTTAGTTTCCTGAGATGTTGTATTTAATGAGGAGGAATTTCCTTATTTGGAATCTGTTTCTGATGAGTGTAATGCTATTGTCCCGGTTTTGACTGTTCCTATTGTTGCTGATGATGATACTCCTAATGTTGTGCCGACTTTCGTCCCTTCCCCTTCTGTTGAGTCCCCATCTTCTGAATCTCCTTTGGTTGAGGTCTCCCCTAACAAGGGGGCTCTGATGTGACTTCTAATCCTGTGGAACAATTGGGTCGCGATCATCGTACGAAGCTTCCATCCACCCAGTTACGCAACTATGTCACCGACACCATTCGTCTCCCCAACCCCTCAGGTACACCTTATCCTATAGCATATTATGTGAATTGTAACTCTTTTTTCCCTGCACATAAGGTGTTTTTGGCACCTCTTTAGTATGCAGTTGAACCACAGATATTTACTGAGGCTGTTAAGGATGATCGTTGGTGAGTGGCCATGCAATCTGAGATTCAGGCACTGGAAAAGAACCATACTTGGGATGTGACTTCTCTTCCTTCAGGCAAGAAGGCTATTGTCTGTAAATGGATTTACAAAATTAAATATCATTCAGATGGTTCTGTTGAGGGCTACAAAGCGCGTCTTTTGGTTTTGGGGAACAATCAGATTGAAGGTATTGACTACAAAGAGACCTTCGCTCCTGTGGCTAAGATGCTGACGATTCAAACTTTTCTAGCTGTTGCTGCTGCTCGGAATTGGGAATTGCATCATATGGGTGTTCACAATGCTTTTCTACATGGTGATCTCGATGAGGAAATCTACATGAAATTTCCTCCTGGTTTTCAGTCTTCAGTACCTGGCCAAGTGTGTCGTCTTCGCCACTCTCTGTATGGATTGAAACAGGCTCCTCGCTGCTGGTTTGCTAAGCTTGCTCGTGCATTGAAACAGTATGGTTTCTGTCAGTCCTATTCTAATTACTCAATATTTACTTTGTACCGTCATAATGTGCATCTGACTGTTCTTGTCTATGTGGATGATCTGATTATTTCTGATAATGATACCACTTTTATTCATCGTTTTAAGACCTATTTGAGTGACTGCTTTCATATGAAGGATCTCGGGGTCCTTAAATATTTTCTTGGTATTGAGGTTGCTCGGAACTCCACTGGCATTTTCTTGTGTCAAAGAAAGTATTCCTTGGATATTGTCTCCGAAGTTAGTTTGTTGGGTGGTAAACCTGTGGATTTTCCTCTCGAACAAAACCATGGGCTTCCGCTGGTTACAGATTCTCCTTTCTCTGATCTTGAGCGCTATCGACGATTGGTTGGTCGTCTCATTTATCTAGCAGTTACTCGACCTGACCTTTCTTATAGTGTTCACATCTTAGCTCAGTTTATGCATCATCCTATGCAGGCACACTGGGATGCTGCTCTACGTGTTGTTCGGTATTTGAAAGGTAATCCAGGTCAAGGGATTCTTCTTCGGGCTGATAGTGATTTACAGTTGTATGCTTAGTGTGACTCTGATTGGGCAGATTGTCCTCTCACTCGTCGCTCCCTTACTGGTTGGTTTGTCCAATTAGGGACATCTCCTATCTCTTGGCGAACAAAGAAACGGAATAATGTGGCTCACTCTTCTGCTTAGGCTGAGTATCATGCTCTGGCTACTATCACTCGTGAGCTGAAATGGTTGAAGGGCTTGTTGCGTAGTCTTGGCGTTGCTCATTCTCAACTCATGCGCATTCACTGTGATAGTCAGGCTGCTTTACATATTGTGACGAATCCTGTTTTTCATGAACGAACTAAGCACATTGAGGTTAACTATCATTTTAATCGTGATGCTATTTTGCAAGGTGTTATCTCTGCATTCTATGTTTCTACACATGAGCAGTTGGCAGATATTTTCACCAAGGCTTTTAGGGAAACGGCAGTTTGATTATTTTCTGGGTAAGTTGGGCATTTGAAATCCCCACTCCAACTTGAGGGGGGTGTTAGAGTGTAAATATAGTAACTAATCTCTTTGTAATTGGTTACGATGTACAGTTTTACTTCCATGTAACCCTAAACCTAATGATATAAATACAAAAGCTGGCCATCCAGAGGGGGCAACTTTCGGCAGTCCAAATTTATGCCGTCTTCTTTTTATTTTGTTATTCCATACCCTTTTCATTAACCTTAATGAAGGATTTGTGGAAAACCTGGCTAACAAAAACATCTTCGCTTCCCATGTCAGTGAAACCTGAAGTAAAAGGCAAAATTAGTCCCAAGCTCTTAAGGATTCTTGATGCTTCGATCCCGTATGAAACCTTAAACTTTGGAACTAGGAAATCACCAACCGGAACTTGCTTCCGCGGCAAATGCCGGTTGACGAATTCGGGTTGAGAACTGATCTTTTCCACCACATCACTCAGATCATTATGGGGATCATCAGGGAGATAAACGTACATGGAGAAGCTTCGGCTCTGTTTCTTGCCCTGTTTATAAGGGAGGCGCAATACTCTGTAACCTTCGTAGACACTTATATACTGCCATTCCCTATTAGTCATAAAAGGGGGTTTAATTTTGCTACCATTTAAGAGGTGAAAATCATGCTCTTTTGTCATGGATTTGGGAAACTGTTCCTCCCTCCTTTGAAATACAGAGCATTTGCAAGAATCAACCTTGTACTTTGGTCTACGGCGCCAGGTGGAATAAGGTCTTTGATGAGGCCATTGGTTTCGTTGTCAGCCCAATTATTCACTTCAATTCCAGCCTCATCGGGTTTGTTCTGGAAATCAACCTGGGTCGAACAAGCCCGGTAAAACTCGTCGGAAGTTTTCTTGAAATTGGGCTTAAAAAAGAGGGATTGATCAATCCAGGCGCCGTTAACAAACGACAATCGAGGCCCACCGGACGAACTTCCATCAGCTAATACAGAACTGAAAAGTTGAGAGGACAGAGAATTGAGTTCCTCAATGGATTTGGACTTGAGGAAATCGAGGAGCTGACCTTGAACGGCGCCTTTGGCCCCTGCCGCCGCGTAGCTCAACACGACGCCGGCGAGAACACGCAGTTTGCGTCGCCCTTCATCGCGGACTCAATAATCGGCTTCGTCAATGTCAAACCAGCAGCATTGTTCTTGTTTCTGATTGATCTTTCGATTTCCCTCTCCCTTTCAAGTGATCTGAAAAGCCTTCTTCTTGCTTCCTCTTGTTTGGGTATCAGGTGATGACAAACCTCGCTTCCGTTGTGAGCGGAGAGCAGAGAGTGGAACATCGTCATCGTCTCTCCAGCGCGGCCGTCGAGGAGGAGAAGAAGATGGTTGCCGATCGTTTTGACTCATGATTGATTTCTTCTTCTCAAAAGGGCTAAAATCAGATTGAAAACTTTGAAGATAGAATTTCGAAGAAAGGAAAGAGGAGAGATTTTCCGAGAATTGATAATGGACAATATCAAAACTCAATTGATGTCTTCTGGTTTGAGAAAAAAAGAGTTGTTCGATAGAGCCGGGCAGTAAATTTTGTATATGATCTACCTCCTTTTATAGTGGGGTGGTGGTGGACTTTAAACCGACTTTACTTTAAAATCATATTTAAATTTTTGATTAATCACATTATTAGTCTTTCCGGTCAGACTTTTGGCATCCAATTTTTTTTTTCTCCCTTTTCCTTCTTACTTCTTGAGTCTCGACATTAGAAGTTATTAATACCGTTATTGCTTATTTCATGATGCAATTGATCATCTATCAAAGATTCATATTTGGTGTTGCTTAGCAACGTTGTGTTATAGTCTAGACTATTAAGCATCACCCCTCCTTCCATTGTAAAAAAAAAATAAAAAAAAAAATAAAAGATTAATTGTTACAAGATAAGTTAATATTGAATTTTTTCAACGTGGACTTAATTTTAATATTTATATTCCGGTCTAGTTTACTCGCGGATTGAAAGTGAAACTTCAATGTAAATCAGCAGCAAGGTTGATCTTGAATGAAGAGACGAGCTGCATTAATTACTTTTGTGACAAAAACAAAAACAAAAATAAAAAAAAAAAAGACTTATAAGATGGCGAACTATATGTTGTTGCCTTTAGCACTTTTAGGCTTTTAGCCTCAAAGAGTTTCCTCGCTAACTAAAATCTGTCTGAGCAGTTTGAGAATTTTTATTTTTTTAGGTAAATATCTAATTTCATTCTCAATATAAGAAAAGCTTACAGCGATTGTTTGAGATCTTAAAATCTAAGAAGTCAACACACTACAGCAATTCTACTACTATATTTTGGCACTCCAATTATTAATTAGTGGTATTATTTATAGCAGCAAAACCCCTATGTTATATAACGAGAAACATTGACATCATTTTGAAAAGAATAAGCTATCATGAACCTAAAGGGTCAAATTCATATGATCATATCCCCTTCTCAAGCATTGCACGAACTCGCATCGGCAACCCATAAAGCCGGATGAATCCAGCTGCGTCGGCTTGATCATATATGTCTCCACTCTCAAATGATGATATATCTTCTCTGTGCCAGAGAATCTTTAACTTGCATCTTTTCTCGATCGAGGGTCAGTGATTCAAGCTCGCGGACAGCTGCGAAGAGAATAGTTCCTCAACGCCGCGACTTTTCATTCCAACAAGACGATTCTCAACCATATCTAATCCGACCGATCCCATGTCCTCCACCGATTTCATTTAACTCGGAAAGAAGATAGGCAGGGGAAAGCTCCTTCCCATTGACCGAAACAGGAATTCTGGCGACGATACCAATTTTCACATACTCAGGTTGGTCAGGAGCATCTTGTGGACTAACACTCATCATGTACATGTCTTCCTTTGGCTCATTTGCAGGATTTTCCAAGATATCTCCCTCATGACTGAGATGCCATAGATTTCTGTCTCGACTATAGATCGACTTCTTTGTCACTGGCACCGGTACATTATGCTGTTTTGCGTATTCAATAGCGTCTTCTCTACCAGTTATTTCCCACTCCCTCCAGGGAGCAACAACACTGAGTTCAGGATTTAAAGCAAAGAAACTGAGCTCAAACCGAACCTGATCGTTTCCCTTTCCCGTGCAACCATGTGAAACTGCATCAGCTCCAACTTCTCTGTCAACATCAACCATAGCGTTTGCAATCGCCGGACAGGCCATTGAAGTGCCAAGCAAATACTTCCTTTCGTAAACGGCCCCAGCTCGCAAGCAAGGGAATATGAAATCTCTTACAAATTCCTCCTTCAAATCTTTAACCACTAATTGGGATGCTCCACTGGCTTTGGCCTTTTCTTCTAACCCATCCAATTCTTTTAGGCTTGGCCCAACATCGGCTGTGAAGCAAACAACTTCACACCCGTAATTCTCTCTCAACCACGGTACAATGACGGATGTATCCGGACCACAGCTATAGGCTAATACCACCTTATTCAGTTTTTTCTTCAGGGCTTCTTTCCCTTTGGTTCCACTGGAAGTGATTATTGCCTCCTTATTGCTGGCCAATACAGCCTGGAGAGCTCCATGCATTATGGGTTGTCTTAGAACCCAATTTGTTGTTCAAGTTAGTAATAGATAGTCCATGAAATTCGCTTCCTTTTACCCCAACCTTTTTCAAAGGCAGCGAACCAGCTGTTTTCTTCCTGGACGAATATGTTCTGGATGTAGAAGAATAAGGCAAGGGACTGATTGAACAGCAACGAGATATTGCCTGAAATTGACTCATCATGCAATATGTCAAGTAGGGGGAGGATTACTTGTTGAATCTCTTACTAAGAGAGCTGAACTAAACTGAAAAAAACCTCAGATGAATTTTGAAGACGAAAAAGAGAGAATTACAGTTATTGTATAGAGTTGATAAAAAAATACCGTAGGACTTACTACTACTTTACGATTATGTAAATAATTTCAATTACTCTTAGTAGTCGGAAATCATCTATTTTTTTGATTTCTAAATCCTGTTTTGTTTTGGTTTCTCTACATGTATAATACGGTTTTTTATATTGCCGGATATAGTAACGTTAAATCTAGCACGAACAAATTATAGTAAATCACAAGGTAAAAGTTAAGTCGTGATTGAAAGATAATGTAATCGTGATTGTCTCATCAGTGTGTCGATTTTTCTAGACTTTCGTCTCTCATATTGCCGAATACCAAATATAATCTGTCACAACCCGATTTGCATCACACTTACGTTGCTCCTACTATATATTGAATCTCTTGATCGAACAAGTCCACCGTGGACAGCCATAAATCGTCCGCACCTTGAGCTATTTCCACTCACATTATCCATCTTTGCCACTATTTGACGGGGCTAGTTGTAATAGACCTTGAAGTAAACTGCTTAACTTTAGCCATGTCGAGAAACCACCATCCAAATCACACATTGTATATTTGTATTTCCAGATTTTATTTTATTTTTTTTCAAGGCAAAATGACCAAATGTAATTAGGAAGAACATGTGAAATAATCAAATTCCAGCCTAGTCACTACATATTAAGCACAATAGCTCTATTAATCGTAATCCTGAAACTACAAATCCTAAGGAACATGGAAAACAGAATACCATAATCTCCAATCTGCCGCAGTTGAGGGGGAGGGGGAAAACAAACAAAAGGACAGAAATCGGATCTTTTTTTCTTATTTATTTATTTTGGCGATGGAATATATATATTTTCCTGCCACAACAAGCATGGTACTTTTAGATCGACACAAAATAAAATTTTTATTGAAATACTACTTCCGAAGAACTATATGGTATAAGAACTGAAGCCTTATATCATTTATTAAGAATTCCATTGGCAGATCATTTCTTGCAGACTATTCCATTCCCACGGGAAGATCCACTTGAGCAATCCAGGCGATCATGTTTATTCATAAGCAACATTGGATTCTCAATTCTGTCGTCAACCTTACTGTTTGGATCATACAAGCAATCTTTGCAATCTGCAGAGAAGAGTGAAGTGGTTCTGTACTTATCTTCACCTCCAAAAGTAGGCATTGCGACTCCTAACTTTGCCGGATTCTCGAAATCCGGCCGATAAGTCCGCCCGATGACCCCATCAACGTTCGAAGAGACACCCAAGAAATTGAAGCTCACCTCCAGATGAGCAAAGCAATCATCAGAAGGCAATTGGTAGTTATGAACTCTGTTTTCTTCCTCTGTTACGGGTACTACCCTGGCTGTAACCTCCACCAGTTGAGGAATAGAAAGGATCACACCGTTTTTGTTGGCAAATCTCTTAATCTTAACATCACCGTATTGCGAGATCCATTCCGCAAGAGTTCCTTCCGCGACGAAAACTTCCTGGCCATCGTAAGTGAATTTAAGATGGTCAATTTCGTCGTCCCATTTGGACAATTTGGTGGCCTCAAGAGAGACAGAATGGGAGTTGAAGAGAATACCCAATGCCTGAATCCATGTGTAGTCCCGGGTTCGGCCAGCCGGGCGATGGCCAATGAATCTAGCATTGATTTGTAAGTTAGTATCGGAAACCAAACTAAAATGTTCGTTGCTCTTGCCATGGAAGTAGAATACGACACCGCCTTTACCGATGAACCGGGGATCATAGCATGCGGCTCCAGATCTCTCGCAAACTCCCCACCCGTTGAACCCTGGAAAATAAGTTCACATATGAATTCATTAGTTTTGTTTTAGTAACAATTAGAAGAAAATATACCTTCCCAGAAAAATAATCCAGTTCGGTAGGAAAAAAAAGATATACAGGGAAAATTTTGTATTACTTCTGCACTCTGACTGGCATTTTGGATCTTGGCAATCAATATAGCAAGATTTACTGCCTGGCCAATTTTGATTAAGCCATGGACATTCTTCGGGGCACCATATTGTTTTTCGCAAACACGGGCCATACCCACAAACCCGACCCATTGCGTGCACTTGTGTTGTCATCCATGATATATAAACAACCAGCTGCAAGAAGATTACAATGTTTATCATGTAACCTGATGTCTTCATAGCTCGATGAGAAAGTTAAGAAGTAGAATTGGCTGAACGCGGTAAACTCAATTTATAGGAGGGATTAATTACATGTTGATTGCAGGTCTCTTCTCATAAATTCGATTAAACATGTTTTCTATTGCAAATTGTAGCTAGATTTTAGATTAATAGTCAAATTAGCTAGCTGTTTATAGGTTGGGGGGAACTAATTAAGAAGATTTGGCGTTCAAGTCTGCATTAATAATGTTAATAACAAGCTCCACTAGCAATATATGTATACAGAAGAAGATTGAAACTCTTTTGCGTCTTATGTTTAAAGTGTAACTTTGATGTCACGGTTTGACTTCTCCAGTCATATTCTTGCTTGTAGGAAGAATTTTTAGCCTTTTTAGGGTTGTCTTTTACTGCTTCCTTGTTAATTTTGACACAAATACAATTTTGATGTAACTAACTTATCAAGTACCAGGTTGACTTTGAAAATTAAAATTTACTTCTCTCTTGTTTAGTTTGGGCAAATTCCAATAATTCATTATCCTACTTGCAAGCTGCAGTGCAACTATGCAAGACGTTGAAAGCTAAATATTAGTAGCATTCATAATGTTACCAGAATGTTTATTTATTAAAAAGAAAATACAGCTCAACAAAATGGCCAATTAAAGTTGAACGGAAGGTATGTTTCTTAAGAGTGGACTTATTAATTGTTTAACAATATTTTGCAAGCCGACATTAATAACCTTAGTGAATTTCTCATGTGTCTTAGGATACAAGTACTATAGAATATGCACATGGACATTCTTGGTTGACATTCATTCATCATGGTATCAGGTTGTCTTAATTTTGTTAGCTATCCATTAATGAGGTTGACTATGTTGACCACTCCATTTGTTCTTCGCATATAACCACCAAAGGAAGAGAGCTTTGCTTCATTACCCCTTCCTAATATACCATACCCCCGCTAAGCCATTTTTTTGCCCTCTTTTTTTTTTAATTAGAACCATGTTATGTGGCCATGGACTGACATACTAAGGGGCTTAGCACCTCCGGCCGGCAGGAATTCTCTTAGTAGATAGGTGTTCATGACTTTGCTATAGATAATTTCCTCTCATGGTGATTAAATCTTATCAGTAGCTAGTGAGCACAGAGCGAGCTGATCGTTTTAAGCAATATTTTACACAATTTCGTACTAATTAGGATGACAACAACATATAGATACACAAAAAACAAAAAAAAAGCTGAATAATCAATCACTAATTGAAATTCTTCTTGTACAAAGCCATAGATATAGGAGTAAAAAAAAAATTAACCTGTTGACCTTCCACTAAGAGCAACCAAAGTTGGTTGAAAGATGACAAATGAGGGAGGAATCCGAGCAAGGTAGGGATCGATATTTTTCACAACACCAAGTGGTTGTTGTGGTTGTGGTGGTTGTTGTTCATCTTGTGGGAGACTATAAGAGAACATATCTCCATACTTACTTACAGCCAAAAGCTCCTTATTCCAACAAGTTGGCATTTGCCACAATATGCAACGGCTGGGTACAGTAGCGTGGGGAGGGGGTGGCAACACCACGGTACAGGTTTTAGTCCATGACTCTGAATTCCCATATTCCCTCATCATCCACACTTCAAACTCGCTGTTGATCACCATTTCATCATAGTCACTCCGATCTGTAAGTAATGCAATAGAATCGTGCAAAACTGTCAAATTGACTCTCCTACCACGACGATCCCAACATTGAGCCGGAATTTCCATCCGCTCAAACTTCTCACCTTGAAAATCAAAGATAATGATTCGATACCGCTGGGAGATACGAGACGGCCGGGAGATACGAGCAAGCCAGTGAAAACAACCCTTCAATAGTTCTCCATCACTTTCTATAACCCATAATATCACTTTCTATCGTCAATTTTGACCTCACTCCAACAATTTGTAGTGAGTTTGTAAATCTCGGCAGCAAATCTGTTTGGGTGTCCCTCGACATGCTTTACTATTCTAACAACCTTGTAGTCATGAATACTGTTGCCAATACCAAAACCAAATGCTTCAGTACAGTAGATCTTTTCATCCTCCGGGTATACAGTAGGTGTAGGAAGTCTAAAGTAATCCCGAGTTATGGGATTGCACAAATAGACACAAAACGGTCTACCGTACCAATCCGTAAAGCAAAGAATTCCATTGCATGATGATCGGCTTGGGAGAAGGCATCCAGGCAATTCGAGACCACTCAACAGTACAGTAGCAAGTATAGTAGTGGAGGAATCATCCGAGTCTCCCTTCTTCTTCTTTGACAATAAGTAGTCTTGGTGTTCACATCGGTGCGTACACGTGTCCACAGCCCAATTATCATCCGTGATATGGTTATGGTCTGACCACTAAATAATATCATGTCTTCGTTTTTAGGGTTACTGCCCGAATGATAATAACTTTCCAAGTGTTTATCACCAAAATAACAACTTGTTTTACCCAAGATCAAATTATGCCATCCTTTGCAGACGCAAGTGCATATCATCAATGATTTAGTCGGCAGCTTTTCCAGAATCTCCATCCAAAGCTCTTCCGCCAACAAATCCATTCCAGCCCACAATCAAACACAAAAACTCTCCCACGTGCGTCTTATGTTACCTTTCTACTCGGCAAAATCCGACCTGTACTTGATTTTCTTTCTTCTCGGTGAAATCTGAAGCTTTCTCCGGGAAACACGGCCGAATAAAACTCTTGACTAATCAAACTGTATACAAAAACAGTATATAAATTCTGTAGCCGTAAGTTGGGAGTGGGTAATATTGATCTATGGCACATTTGTTGTTATAAATTTATAATAATCCTTGTAGAAAAGTAGTAACCCCTTAATCAACCTAGAACGTTCCCGAAAGTCGGTTGATCCAGTTAGGTACGTAAGAAATCACTTACCTAAGTAAAAGAATCCAAAAACCTATTTACTTGTTAGTTTTTGTATTGAAAGTTGAAACTCTCTGGGAGTTCTTTTTTTTGTTTTTTTTTAAAAAAAAAATTGAAACTCTGGGAGTTTTGTATTAGGTTGAGGTTAATTGATTTCTAGCTATTTACTTATTAATTTTTGTATTGAAATTCTACTGGAGTTTTATTTTATTTTTTCGTAAAGTAATGATAACGGAGATTTTTTTATTTCAGCAATTGATCCCGTACGTTAATCTAATACGTTAGATAGGACTTCATTTGTTTTCAAAAAAAAAAAAAAAACACTAAACTGATATATTGTTATGCGCTCCTTTGTCGACCTTGATTCCAACCCAAATATATATATATATATATATATATATATATATATGGGAGCGGGTAGAGTCCCGTTATGGGACAGTTCCATTTTAGGATAATAATCGTATGATTAATTATATTAAGTAATAACCGTAGAATTAAAATGAGGATACATCATAAGTAAATACACCTAAATCCACATGATTAAACAGAAAAAATTTAAGAAAATGGTCAATTTTGCCCAAAACTTCAAGTATCTGGTGGCCAATTTTGACTCGAATTTTTGAGAAGCCAAATATATAATCTAAGTTTCAATTTCTGGCCAATTGACAAGATTTCAGTTAGATTTAATACCTCTGGTAACATTTTGTTATTTTGTACAGTTTTTTTATTAGAAAAAGTTTTTGCGAACCCCATAATTTTGACATCTTTATCCCAATGATTTTAGTTGTTCTAAAATATACCCATAGAATTTTCAAAATCAATAAAATTAAATTAAATTAATAAAAAATTATTTTAAAAAAATTAAATTTATTTTTTAAAAAAACTTTTTCTTTCATTTTTTTACCCAAGTCCATCACTGTAAAATTTTCATCCTATATTTTATCAATTTACAATAAAAATATTTATTTTCTAACAAATTAATATTAAATAAAATAATACTAAATTAATTAAAAACTGAAACCATAACTAATAAAATAATATAATATTAATAAAAAAATTATTTTTAAACAATCAAAATTTAATTTTTTTAAAAAAATTTTGATGTACGTTTTAAACTCCAGCCCATCACTGTAGAATTTTCATTCTATTTCATCCTATATTTTGTAGATTCTACAATTTTTTGTTGGAATCTACTAATAGGTAAATATAACTCACAACAATTTCATAAATTAAAACATATCAAAAATAAGAAATTAGATTAGAATAAAATGTTAAATTTTAACTTAATTATTCATTTAAAAGAACTTGTCATAAAAGTAATATTTATACTTTATTCTAAGCGCACAAAATTAAAAATTATATCAAAATTTGTGCAACGAAGGTACATTTATTTTTTTAAAAAAATATCATTTTAGTTTCAAAATTAAACTTTTTAACTTTTTATTAATTTAATATTTATTTTAAGTCGTAATTATTTTTATGAATATAATTATTTTAATATTTTTATTAATATTTTATTTAATATTAATTTTTTTGAAAAATAAATATTTTTTATTCCGAAAATACCATATTGACTTAAATATAAAGATGGTCAAACTAGTGGAATAAAGATGGTCAAAGTCAAACTCTTGAAATAGTGCCAAAGAACAAAAAAAGTTATAAATAAAAATATAAAGGACTATTAACTAAATATTAATTTATAAGACCAAAATGTGCATTTGGCCTAATATAAAAGACCATGATACTAAAAGAGTAATTAGTTTGAGAAATTGTAAAATGTTTCTCACCCCATGATTATATCTTATATCCTTAATTTGCCAATGCCTTATTATAAGTGTATGATGTCATTTTCCATGGTTATAGAATAATACAATAATATACAGCAACTTGCCTTCGTGAGATTATCTTTTTCATAATGGAGATTTAAAATTGATCCGACGAAAAAAGTTAAAAGTGACATTACACGCCCTAAAACATTAATTAAAGGACTACTCCAATGATAAGATCTGGTCTCCAGGCTGGACTTTAAAACTAACTTTTATGCGTTATTTGTAGACAGGAATGACCACTTAATTTTCATTACTTTCTTGATCTTTTTGGTGACGTAGAAAACTTGAAACTAAAGCTAATTTATTTTACTCCCTCCGTCTCATAATTATTGTCCAATTTGAGTTTTTATTTCTAATTTAAATTATACTAATTGTAAAATTTCAAATTGGATAATAATTTTAGGACAGAAGGAATATTTGGCCAACTACAATTTTGAATTACACGGCGAGACAATTTTCCGGTCAAGTTGACATTGACCACTTTTATGCTCATGCAAAATTGTGCATACTATGGTCTAGTTATATATACACTACATGGAATAGACACGCTTTGCGCGTACATATAACAAATTCTAGATAATTTATTGTGGAAAAAAATGGCAAACACACATAAAAAGCAAACAATAGAATAGAATCAAATGTTTACATCACAATAAAAAAATAATAAAAGATGTCAAAACTGAAAATTTTCACATGAAATAGAAGAAAATTAATAAAAAATAATGGTAGGTAACTACTTCCTATGAGATTGGGACGGAGAGGTGAGTGTAGAAAAGAGCACTTGAAAGAAAGAAAAGATAAATGTAATAAAATTTTTATTGTTGAGAATTATATAATAACAAATTCAAGACACAAAACTCTTAGCATTCTTTTTGAGTTATGAAACAATTTTCAAATCTTCATTAATAAAGTATTAAAATTCAAAGAAGAGAAGAAGAAAAGGCAATGAGAATTTAAAGATGTAAAAATTGTTTAAACAATTTATTGACCGATTAAATTCACCTAATAATGAATATTAATTTGTTTATAATCTTCAAAGTGAAAATGAAGAGGAAATTATAAATGAAAGGAGACCAAAGATTGGAGTATCAAAGGATCACCAAATCGTAACATTTAAGTCTTTTCATTTTCTTTATCAAAAAAGAAAAAAAAAAGACATAATTAAATTCACCTAATAATGAATGTTAATTTGTTAATAATATTTAAAATAAAAATTAAAGGAGAAATTACTTGTGAAAGGAGATCAAATGTCTGAATATTAAAAGATTACCAAATAGTAACATTAACATCTTTCGATTTTATATTAATTTGTTTATAAACTTTAAAGTGAAAATAAAAGAGAAAGTTATAAATAAAAAGAGATCAAATGGTTAGGTTCTTGTCCTTTTAGGTAATAGATCAGAGTTCGATTCTCACAAGGGTTGGGAGTTATCCACATTTAAATTGGGTCCATTGAGTAGATTTTTATTTTATTTTTTTTAAAAAAAAAGGAGATCAAAACTTCGAGTATTAAAGGACTACCAAATTGGATTACCAAATGGTAACATTTAATTCTTTTCATTTTCTTTGACAAAAAAAAAAAGAGAAAAAGATATAATTAAAATTTAAAGAGATTTCTTGTCAGGTTAAATTCACATAATAATGAATGTTAATTTTTTTATAATCTTTAAAAATGAAGAGGAAATTACTGATGAAAGGAGATCAAAGGTATGGATATTAAAACATTTCCAAATGGTAACATTAACATCTTTTCATTTTCTTGGTAAAAAAGTAAAACAACAAAGTAAATACTTAAAGGACTACCAAAATCCCATAACATTCGACAATTATAATATAATATGATGAAAATGTTTGAATTATTTTTTTGTTGTAATAAAAAGAATAATTGAAGCACGTACAACGAAAGAAGGAGTCCTTCCTATCAAATATATATATATATATATATATATATAGGAGAAAAAAAAAGGAGGGAGTCTACAGCAACAATTCTTATACAATTTCAAAAAAAAATTAATACTGCCAAAATTTTGCTTCTTAGCCAACACAACTGTATTTACAACTTTATGTATAATGTAACTCGTGAAATTAGTTTAATGTTTTAGAATCTGTGTTACGATTGATTCAGTGGCGTAGATAGGGGGACCAGTAAGAGCGATCGCCTCTTCCTTCTAAATTTTCATTAAGGAAGGATTAAGTTTTTTAGTTTAAAATTTTTAAAACTTATAATTTTGCCCTGTTACATAGAAAAATATCATTTCGCTACTTGTATTAAAATTTCTGGCTTTACCATTGAATTGATCTAAAAAGGTTCACAACCAAGTCAAATAAAAAATATTTATCATCAATATGGGAAAGATGATCAATGATTGAGAGTCGAGAACTTATTAGGATCTATTATTTTGACACCTTGATTCAGGTGGTGGAGACAAGAGAGACGGTATGGTTTTAAAATGTCATATATACTTCAATCGATGTTATTGAAATGATAATATTTTTAAAATTAAGCATGTTTGAGACGGTGGCTCGAAAAAAAAATTGCGTCTCTTATTCCAAGAAAATTGTTCATATCAAAATGTGTAAATGTGATACAATATATAAAATTTTTGTGAAACGGAAAAGTATTAGAAAACATATAACCTCTATTAAGATTATCAATAAAAGTAGAATAGTCAATACCCAATGCCTTAATGAACAAGAATAAAATAGTGAATCTAGTCTAGATTATTAATCACATTAGAAGCATCCATCCAATCTGATTATTATTACAACCTCTTCTTAATTACGTATGCTTAATTCTTCACTTCCAATAGAATAAATCACAAATTCTGTTCAGCCCAAAACACGTCATCACCCTCAGACGGGCCCACAGTTCCAATCGCTGCCTTTTGTTACCAGAGAACCAACCAACCGCTTCCAGCACAACGCAACCCGCCACCTGTCTTCTTTACTAAATTCATATAAATAATTAAAAGCAATATAATTCCAGGCAGGTAATAATCCAATTATAACCCAACCACCAGAATTATTCCTTTTTCTGGATAATTATGATTGATGTTTACCAAATTATTAGTATTATTAGTAAATCGAAAGGTGGGACCGTAGGAGAAGGATATATTCTTCTTCGTATAAAATACGTAGTAGTAGAACATACTAATACGCGTAGGAAATACACTGGTAATTTGGTTAATGGCCAGAAAAGGCGAGAATTGAGGTTGGACATTTGAGCTCCGAAAATCATTGTTTGAGAAATTCGTCCCCCGATCCTACAAACCTGTCTCTGTTCTTTTGTGATTTCACTCTTTCTTCTTCTTTTTGTTTTTGTTTTTTTTTTTTTTTGGCTCAGAAATTTTTCTTTCTTTTCCCTCTCTCGTTTATTGTGTTTGGGAGGAGAAATTGAATTTGTGGAATTTCGGGTGGATTGTTTTTGTTCATATCGTCAGAATTTTGGAGAAAATTGAAGTTACGGTGGTTGATCCGAGGTGTGCTCATCTTCCTCACTATGGCCGGCGGTACTAACCAGTTGATTTCGGTTCAGCCGGACGAACTCCATTTCCAATGTAAGAAAATTCCATCTCCCTCTCTCTTGTTTTCTTTGGTGTATGTTACTATGTGAGTGCGTGTGCGTATTTGATGCCTTGTGGTAGCCAGTTTTAACTGAATTTGTTTGGAATTGGATTTTGATTTGTGTATGTTACAATGTAATTTTTTGTATTTGCGTTCTTGAATTACACGGCGATAGTGAAGTGTGGATCGCTGAATTGATCCATTAACGTTGTTTTGTGTAGAATTTTCACGCTGGCATTGTTTTTTCCATGTCTGAATATTGAACCTGGGGGAAAATTTGTAGTTTATTAAAATGATGAGAAAATGCTGACTATCCATGCTCTTGTTCTTGCTAGTTGAGCTGGACAGACAAAGCTTCTGTGATCTTAAAGTTTCGAATACAACCGAAAACTACGTTGCTTTCAAGGTATTCTTATCATGATATCTTTTGAACCAAATCGATGCACTTTGCGAGTTGAGGTATTCATCATTTGTTTAATTATGCTTCTGTTTCAGGTGAAAACTACGTCTCCTAGGAAGTACTTTGTTCGCCCCAACACCGGGGTTATACAGCCTTGGGACTCCAGTGTTATAAGAGGTACCTATCTTTAATTCGCAGTCTTCAATTTGGGCATGGGATACTATTATCTGATGCTTTCAAGGTTCTAAGATTATAAATGTAGCCAGTGGAAATGCATCCCTGTAGTTCAAAACATGTTGAAACATACTGTGATGACATTATTGCTTTACCTTACTGATTGTTTAGTTCAGATTCTTGATGACGCCGTGTATTTATGTGGCATCGTGAATTTATACTTTTTTTGCTACTTGCTTCTCTATCATTTTCATCAGACTTTGTGGCAAATGCTTGATGTATACTAATTGTCAGGTTTGGATAGTTGTGATTGATATGTTTGTGATGCATTTGTAGTCACCCTTCAAGCTCAGAGAGAGTATCCTCCAGATATGCAATGCAGAGATAAATTCCTACTTCAGAGTACTGTAGTGCCTCCAAATACTGACGTTGATGAGCTTCCTGCTGATACAGTAAGGATCTGAAGTGCTGCTAGAATTGCAGTCTCCTCTTCACATCTGTTTGACCTTTCCTCACTAGAAAGAACTATTTCTTTTCTCCAGTGGCATTTGATATGTTTGGTTCCTTGTCGTTTTTTTTCTTCCAGTTTAACAAGGATTCTGGTAGAGTTGTAGAAGAGTGCAAGCTTAAGGTTGTCTATCTCACACCTAACTCGTCAAACCCAGAAGATGGCTCGAGACGCTTTATTGACTCTAACATAGTGAGTTCTTGTCCTATCTGCATTTGCTTCCCATTCATGCTTTTTCATGCCATAAATGTGATCTACAGGTTATATAGCTTAATTGATGTAACGACTGGAGTATATGACAAATTAAATGTTTTGAAGGTAGTAACTAAATTACTGTGAATAGAGATTAAACTAAAACTTTTTGGAGGGAAACTATAGTTTCCACAGGTAGCATCAAGAGTAAGCGAAGATTGCCGAGCCTGACTCGATCTATGAGAGATCTTTTATTTAAGAAAAATGAAATGATTGTTGAAGATGTCACAGATTAAATCCAGACTGGTCAGAACATATGGGAGTGTGCGATTGTTAACTATAACTGAAAGGAAAATAAGACAACATAGAACCATGTGGTGGACCAATAATTTGTTGCTTTGGTCTCTTTTGTAATGTGCTTTGCACTGGACGTATTGTTGAATTTGTATATGGATATTTGTTAACCTTAAGTTTGATTTATAGTTAATGATTTTTCATATAACATCTTCCTCACTTTCTAGTTGTAACTCTTTACTAAATGAATTGCAGATGCGCCGTACTGCAAGCTTTGATGATGTGAGTATTCAGCTCATTCTATTCTTCACTCTGTCGCCAACCATTTGCTCTGTGCATTAAGAGATTGATGTCTTTAAGCTGTTGATGAGCCGTACTAGTCTTTGTGGACTGAATTTATGGGTGGGAGGGGAGGTGAAGAGAGAGGAAGAGAGTGGATAAGGGATTATACTCGGTGTTGTTTTTAACAAGTTTACTTTTCTTGAGTTAAGTTTAACAAGAGTACTTTCCATACTTTGGAAAAACGTAGACCTGTTGCATGTGGGTCATGACGATTAAATCTGCTCTTATGTTTTTTGGTCTTTTGGTTTTCAATATTGTAGCCCTTTCCTTTTTCTGATGAATCGTGTTCCCTTTTGATTTCAGAACCAGGTATTGCAGCACCTAAAAGAAGAAAGAGATGCAGCATTGCGACAAAAACAACAATTGCAACAGCAACTGGTTAGTCTATTCTATCTAAATTATTATGGCATTTGCTGATGATTAACATTATAACACACTTGCATGCCTGTTGGGATGATAGGTATCCCTGTCAAATACCTAGTATTGTAGGATAGAATCGTGGCGATATATGTTTTATTTGTCTCTTTTCTGAGTGAGGCATACTATTTTATGGAAAATGTAGCTGGGCAAATGGTGTCTAGAGAAGGCATGAATTGCTGGGATCAGTTTAAGCGGAGTTGTTATGACAGAACAATTTTGGATAGCATCAGCAGTGTAAATTGGTTTTTAAATTTGATGGTACAAATATTAGTGAAGGAAGAACACCAGCAGGAAGTTCTCTCCAAAAAAATGTATTTTTTTTTTAATCAATTCCCCCTGGAACAGACTCAGCAAGACCACATTATACTGTTTCAGGATATAGGTTAGAGCATATCTTGTCTGTAGGAAATAATTCTGTGAAGTTACTGTGAAAAGCATTTTGGACGTGATGCATAAGTTATTAAGGCCTGCTGCAGATAAGTTATCCAGAAATAGCTTTAGGATCTTACACTATGGCAATAAATGGCATCTGTTCAGTATATGCATGCTGATATTGCCTTATGCTACTTGCAGTTTAGCTGTTCAGGGTAACTGAAATGCTCTTAGAACTGTTGATATGTTCAGTCAATTCATGGCAAATGATACTCTGCCATTTTATGCATATCCCCTTTGATCACAGAATCATGGAACGTCAATGAATTACAATAGACATAACTGGAACTTCTTTTCTTCATACACAAACAAAAACCTTTCATCTTGATAAGTCAGTGCTTCTATTACTTGCAGGAAATCCTGAAAAGAGGAAGAAATCGGAAAGGTGATCCAGGCTTTTCCTTAATGTTTGCCTTTTTTGTGGGATTGATTGGCATGATGGTTGGCTTTCTCTTCAAGCTGTTATTTTCCTCACCTTCTTCGGAATGATTCTACTCTCTTACAGACTTGTCAGGACACAGATATTATTCACAATTCATTGTAAAATTGAAATCAGGGTACTAGTGAGTGAGAAAAGGTTGCTTGCGTAGTTTGGTCTTTGCTGTAAATTGATCTGTTGGAATATTGTCTTTGTTCAGTTGGTTTTAGCAGATATGATTATCTCGAGCTTGATTGATCCTTTCCTGGTACTCTCAATGTAGTCCCCTTTTTTGTCCTCATCTGTAGTTCTGTACAGAAAGTGCACTGATGAATTACATGTTGCATACAACAGAATATATAAAAAGTTAAAAAACTTTTCAACAAAGCAAACTGAAGATTGTCCACTCTCCATTCATATCTTTGAACAAGTTGATCCTAATTCTTTCTAAAAAGGCATAATGCTCCGAATTCTTGGCACCAGTGTAATCAATTCTGCTTAGGTCCTTGCAGATCCCACAATAGTATATCGATGGAAACGTTCATATAATCATCTCCGGCAGCCTGGACATCCTGATGTCTTATTCATAATCTATCTATCTATCTATAATATATTATTATACTAAGAGAGAAACCAAAGAGAGAAAACCAAAACTCTCCCCCCGTTGACACGTAGGACAAATCTTATGTGTCAGTTTCCAATTGGTTGCAACAAAAAATATTTTCAATAATTACACCAATAGTCCTCTAAATTTTAAGTGATTCATTTGTTATCAGATTGAAATTAAGACAATCATATCAGCCATTAATTAACAAATCCACAAAAGCAACAAAAATTATAAACAGCAAAAACTTTCTATTTCGTAATAATGAGATGAAAAAAAACGAAAAATCTTCAAATCCTCCATTATGTGTTACCCAAAAAAGATAAATATTTATTTTATTCGTTAAGTAATCTGATTTGATTTGAAAATATAATCCGGTTGGCGGAAATGAATGCATCACATACGAAAACAAACATTAGACAATATTAATTATATTTTGAAATTCAAATATAATTAATGTCAGAATCCTCTGTAATTATTCTAGCCTTTTATTAATTTTAAAGTCCAAAAAATCAGCCTCAACCATAATTTACGCCTAATTACAATAATTACAGAGTTATATATACGTTGCTTGAAAAAACATAGACGGCATACAGACTCTAAAATTATTTCAAAATTCAAAAAATTCGTAACAAACATAAATTATCAATAATTTATTTCGGACGAGAGACTGACCATTATATGCCTATAAATATTAGGACATTTTCTAGCAGAACCTCACATTTTCTTGCGTGCTGCAGTAGTTTTTGTTTCATTTTCTTCCCTCTAATCATGTGACCTAATTAAATATGATTGAAACTGATTGTCTTTGGTTGTGTTCTTTTTACAAGTACAAGACGTATAAGAATTTTAACAAATTCAAGATTGACTTCCAGCGACCGAGAGCATCGATCGACAGAAGGTAAATTACAGCAGAGGCATGGACCAAGATTTTTATTTTTATTTTTTAAAATATGGTTTTTGCGTGATGTGTAGATGAAAGATGAACATTGCGGACTTCGTTGTGCAGAGTGCACAAGTGTTAACTTAAAGTTAAAGGTTCACTCTCTTAATGTTTTTTTTACTTAATCTAGTTCAATTTTCTTGTGTTGAATTTCTTTTATTAATTTTTGTTAAAAGGTGAATGTGGTTTGCTATATATGTGCGGTGCAATTTCCATTTTCTCGATATCAATTCTAAGGGAAAATTATACTTGCCTTTGCATTTGGAAAGTCTTTTCCTATTGGGTATTGCAGATATACTTTTATAATTGTTTTATTGTTATTTTGTATTTGATTTGTTTAACACTGGATAGAATTAATTTACATCTGCAAAGCAAAAATGTAAAAGGTTGTTTTTATAATTGTTTTAAATTGACTTTTTATCTCTTTATTAATTGTTTGAGAATTCAATATTTGAGTATTTCCAACCATTCAATCATAATTAATAAATAATATTTTATTTTAAATTAGTTAGTCTTTAAAGTTATTGGATTAGATGATTTTGAGTATAAATTTGACTACTTTCAAGCTGTTACACTATGATAATTATGCTTTTAAATTTTTTTTTTGTTATATAATACATTTGAAAATGAAATCATGTATTATGAGACTTACTTTATTTTTGTTTTTCTAGAAATGAATATATATATATATATATAAATATATATGTTACTTTTTCATGTATCACATTTTCCTTTATTTAAATCTTAATAATTAGTTTTTTCATAAATATAAGAAGTAAACTTTGACGTGCACGCCTCTCTCTCTCTCAAGAAAAAAACTCTCGCCTATCTCTAGGAAAAAACCACCGGGAAAAAATCTCCTCCTCCAACCTCCATTAACAGTGGTTGGGGAGCAAAATCACTGTTTTTCTGCATCTAGTAATTGGCCACAAGAAAAAAATAGAAAAACACTTCCATCCACCAGCAGTGATCATCCATACCATCGTTGGCGCCATTAATGATAACTGTCAAATCTCCAATCCGACGCTTCGATATTCTAATTCAACGATTTGTTTCGATCTCCAAGGAATCAGAGTTCTAGTTAGATTGAAGCACCGCCAGTGTCGGTACCTCCGTTTGTCGTCAAGTCGGGATCGTTTGCTCATCTCCATTAGTAGTTGTTTGATTGCTCCGCTCGCCTCCAGATCATTAAATTTGCTTGTCCATCGTTATCACGGACGCAATCTGTTGGTCAGTCGATGTTGTGTTATCTGTTTAATTTATTTTTTTATTTTATTTTTTGTATTTTTATGATTTTTTTAATTCAATTAAGTGGGATTTTCCACCCTCAGTATAAATCCTGGTTTGATTCTTTACTGGGTGAATGTAGTGCGCCAGCAGAGCCAGGTCCGTTGTTCGCTTTCTGTGACACAGTAGATCCTGTTCGATTTGCTGACTATCGCACGTCGTCTTTAACGATGGTTAGTTTGGCCCGAGAATATTTAGTCACGGTAAATCTGTTATCTAGATTTACTAATTGGAGCTTTAATTAGATGGATAGTGGCCTACTCGAGTTCAGATTTTTAATCTGTTCCGTTGTATGTTCAACAATAGAATCATGCCGTTGGAGGTCTTTTTCATGCCGGGAATAGCAACTGGTTGGTGAAAGTTTTATTTTATATTTCCAGTTGTAATAGTTTAGTGACTATTTTAGTGCTTGTATTCTCCCGTCAGTCGTTGTTAGACGGTTTGTATCAATCAGAGCTGGCTGATTTCCAGCAATCGTAATGAAGTTTTTTTTTCTTTCAAAAAAAAATGTTAATAATTAATATACTTTTTTCATGTATCACATTTTTCTTTATTTAAATCTTAATAATTAATATTTCATAAGATTTATACACACATTATACACATTTTTATATTTTCTCTTAAAAAAATATAAAAAAATAGTAACATATCCCGCTAATCGTGCGAGTTTAACATCTAATTTCATACTATTAAGATTCAAACCTCGAACCGGTTGCCCTCCAACAGATTACAGATCTAAGAAAAACATCCACCAGGTGCATTTGTCGGAACCCATGGTTTGTAAGGATAACCATCCATGGCGGCAGAGCAATGGAAATTTATCGCTCGAGTTTATAAATTTTAAAAGAAATGCTCATCTGTTATAAAATTATTGTTCAGTTTAGATTTTCACTTTTAGTTCAGTTTGTTCTAAAACTGAAAATTGATACCAAACAATAGTTTCGGGATGGAGGAATATATTGTTTCAATTTTTAAAAAATAAAAAAAGATACTCTTTCCCAAAAAAATAATACGAATTTTAATGTTAGTGCTATTTCTAATTCAAATATCAACATTTAATATAAATTATTTTATTCGGAGAGAGCGAGTATGTTCTTGATTTGAATTGTTAAGCTAAATCTTAAAATTGAACTTATGAGATAGGTATGACTTAATTCATAAATAGGGTGAGATTTTATTCAGTTTTTCATATTAATTTTTAATTTACAAGATTAAGTCATCTAATTTTTATATTATATTTTTTTTGTTGGATTATTTTTTTGGGATGGAGGTACTTGAGATAACAGTAAAATATAAAATAAATACACAAAATATGAGTGAATACATGATTTTATTTACTTTCTTTTGATAGTAATGAACCGTTGGTTAATCAACATTTTGGAACTACCGATTTTTGAACAACCGGTTTCCATTCCACGGTCTGATTCCGGTTCATAAACAGCCTGTCAAGTTCCGGTTTAACATTCATAGCTAACTCGTCGAAGATACACGCGCAGATCTCTGCTCAGGGCGGGAAACTGGGCATTTCCCCAAATTTTTTAAACGCTTCCCAATCTTTTCCCGCCTCCCACTCTCTCTCTCTCTCACACACACACACAGAATCTAGTCACACTATTCTTCATTTTTCAACATTTTTCACACACACACGCACCAAACCCTCCCTCCGTCCTCCTCTCTCACATCATCATCGGATGTGAATTTTCAGATCTAAATTTGATTCCGATATTCACAATCATGGAGACCAGTGGCGAGTTGACACACGCGTCCTTCGTTGACCAGCTCACTAGTTCCCCCACCACTGACACACAAAAGGCTTGGCACATCTCCTCCATGCTATTAAGCTTCCGGCGGCCGGCGCGACCAGTGGAACTCGCATTCCGATGCACGCTTTTCCGAGCAACGCCAGAGTTGATAGAATATCTGTGTTGCATTCCAAATTCTCCTATTCTTTTAACTCCCAGCTACTATGTCACTTTGTCATCCTTTGGATACCTTGCAATTGCCGAATTCTTCTCAAATTCAAGTGTCGATTTGGATTTTCTGCCTCGTTTAAAGTTCGATTTGGAGTTCATGACTTATTTTAGGAAAAGGAAGAGGACAACAATGAAGGAAGTGTTCTTGCAGGAGTCAAAAAAGAGAGGTAGGCACACACATTTAATGGTGAAATTAGAGTAATTTTTTTTTCCTGTTTTCCTGCCGTTATAGGTTTTGTTGTTAAATGTATTTTAATCAATAATTTTTATTCTGTTTTTTTTTTTTGGAATTGCAGCAAAGGGAGATAACCAAGAGGTGATTCCGTATTATTATGCTGAGGTATGTTTGGAAGTGGTTGTATTTTCTGTGATGTTGCGCACTTTGTATTCTATTATATTTTTAGTAATTATTGGAAATTGCTGTCAATTTGAATTCCTAATTTCTGCATATTTTGGTTCCCATGGGAATATGCAGATATCAGTTGTTTATTTAGCTGATAATTGCTTGCATTAGGAATCTTGATAACCATTTTTTCTTATGATTGTGCTTAGTAAGCTCTGGTTGTTGAGGAGATGAATACCAGAATCGATTCATTTAGAAATACAAAATGGGTGGTATATGGAAAGAAACTCTTATATCTCTAGTTTGTTCCCATTTGTAGATCTGTTATCCAGTTTATATTTGCCTCTATTATGTTTGGCCAAACAGGCAAAAAAAGTTTCATTTGTGTTTGTCTCAGATCTTGTGATACTGGGACTTAGTCTTGATTTTGGAGTGAATGAGTGGTAAAATTGTCGATTATTTCAAGGAGGACTAGGAGCTTTTGAAGGAATTTTAGTATTTGTGGTTTGCAAATGTTAATAACTAATACACCTTGTCCACTTCAGAAAATTTGATTCAATTGCTGAGAGCCTTAAAATTTCTAGAATATTTAAAACTTGAAGAGCTTATGGAAAGTCTGTTTTCTAGAGTCTTTGGCAATGAGCCGCTGATTATGGATATAGATGTAAGATAAAGTGGAACTGTTATTCATTTGCAGATTTTCCACTGTGTCATAAAATGCGTCTCTCTTCCTTTTGTGCTCATGCTTTCCTTTGTTTCTTCTCTATTCTTGCCATGATATGTAATTACTTTGCTATTTCGCCTTGTGTTTCACATGAAATGAATTCTTTTAGCCTCTAGGGTTTGGCTGGTTGCTTCTGTAAAATTACTTTGTTTTTTTACTTCCCAACCTTATTTACCGCATGTGATCTTCAACTGTTTTGTGTTCTTTAAAATCGCTTTGTAGGCATGTGTTCAAGATAATGAATCGAGCAAGGGCTTCACAACAAGATTTCTTGCCAACAGTGTAGAGTCAAATATAAAAGACACCAATGAAGAAAGATGTTCCTCCGCAACAGGATACCAAGATTTCCCTCCTCATCATCTTCAGAATTTCTTTCCAGCAATGCTAGAGCACCAAAAAGTGAAGGCTTATCCGTTTCAAGAGGTGGATAGTCATAGTACACTGCAACTACCTGTATTTGCCACGGAAGCTCCATTTAGTGAAGGAACTTGGGCCAAAGGAACAAGCTTCCCTGCATCATCTAGCTTGAAATTGGAAAGCCAGAATGCACATCCAGCAAAACAAGTTGAGACTGCAGTTCATCCTTCTGAAACTATGGTTGAAGCTGTAAAGGACATAGAAAGTACTCAGGCAGTGGCAAATAGAGAGTCTTTTGTAAATCTGCTGATAGGAATGACAAGAAAAGGTCAACTAGTAATGCATAAGCTATTAGAAAATGTTGCTGAGGAATACAAACGGATACCTTCAGCTGACATGGAGATAGGTCTTGAGCTTCTAAAGAGTCAAAATGCCACAGAGTTACCAAAGGAGTATCCGAATGATCAAGATGGCACAGAGATACCAGAAGAGCTTCTGAATAATCAAGATGCCACAGAGATGGGAAAAGGGCCTCTGAATAATCAGGAGCTTTTGATATCAAATTCTCTTGCTTCTGTTCAGAATCCACTGGCTAGAACTTCAGCTAATTTAAAATTTGATGTGAAGGAACATAGTCAGAATGGACACTTCACGACTTCAAAAGTTCGTGATGCTGCTTGCTCTTTTACAACACAGGGGCAGACTAAAAGAGATAACAAGTCAACCCCCTCAAAGCTACACCTAAAATGTAATGATAAGCGAAAAACTGATGTTAAGGAAAAGCACAAAACTGCTGATAAAATCGGCAACAGTTCCCTTATGTCATCTCAAGTAAGCTGGTTTAGAATTCTTTTTGTATCCCTTCGATGTCATTTTTCTTTATGCTTCACAGAGTTAACGTAGTGTTTTCTAGGACCAACTGGAGCATAGGGTCCTACCAAACTTTGAATCATTCGTTGTGGAAGAAGAAGAAGGTTCAGGTACTGAACCTTTTCTACATATGAAGCTGTTTTATACTCCCTCCGTCACACAAACATATGCAAGAAAGAGTTTTGAGATTTGTACTAATAGTAGAAATCTCAAAAGTCAATGTGGACTATTTTTGTGGGACAGGGAGTAACTTTAAAACAATTATTTTTCATATCAATTCAAGATCTTTCTGGATGCCTACAGGTGGCTACGGCACAGTTTATAGGGCAAAAAGAAAGACCGATGGAGTTACATTCGCCATTAAAAGTTGGTACAGAAACCATTTGTTTATTTTGCTCGTTCACTGACAAGTCATTAAATCTACTGTCAGTTTGTTCATTATGACACTTGCGGGAATCTGAGTTAATATGCTGGTATCCATGTCGCACTGGATTTGTTGATGAAAACTGTGATTTAAGCTTCATTTTCCGACAAAAATCCTCAGAGTTTTGACTTTTGAGGTGTATTATTTGACAATGCATGCAAGTACACGTCTTTGTGGATTCTTTATATGGTTTGAATGGAGTGATATGACGAAGCCCTTTTTCAGTTGAAGGAATTTGAATGTGATTTTTCTAAAAGAGCTTCAACATTCTAACTGCTTATTTTTGTGTTACAGGTCCACATGTTAATGCTAACAGAAATCATGTTCATAATGAGGTGAAGATGTTGGAGAGATTTGGGTAAATTATATTGACTCACTCTAGTTAAAGATTCACTCTCGTTGCTCTGGGTTTTATGTACATGATCAACATATTATTTCAGGGGAAAGAACTTTGTGATCAGATATGAAGGTTCAATCAAGAGAGGGAATGTTGACTGCCTTGTCTTAGAACATGTAGAGCATGACCGGCCTGAGGTGAAAAAAATGTATTTAAAATTTCATTCAAACGGCTTTGTTTACTTGTATCTACCTTTTTGTAACTTGATTTCTTCTAACCTCAAGGCATTAAAGAAAGAGATCGATATCTGCGAACTTCAATGGTATGGTTATTGTATGTTTAGAGCCCTTGCTGCCCTTCACAAGCAGGTACTGTTAACTAAGATGCATATTGTAACCTGAGAGTTGGAGTTAGTTAAATACTTGGAGGTGACTTGTCTTTACTGTTTTCTACCTTGTGTACAGGGCATTGTGCATAGAGATGTTAAACCTGGAAACTTCCTTTTCAACCGCAAGGCCTGTAAAGGTTATCTGATTGATTTTAATTTAGCCATGGTGAGTTGTAGTTGGTGTGTATTTATGTTTCTCATACTTCTCCTTTCAATATGCCGAAACTTCTGTGTTTATCTAACTTCAATTTGTTATCTTTTTCGACAGGACCTGAACCATAAATACTTTAACCCTGGTAAGTTATTCATTCATTTTATTCCCTTCTTTTTTTTTGGGTTGGGGGAGAGGTTTCAAGTAACTTCGAGTCTTTCCTTGATTTGGAATTTTATCAAACTCAGATATTCACTTTGAAGTGCTTAAACTCAGATTTTATCAAACATCTTTTTCCAGAAACCAATCAGCTTTCTCTCTTCCTTTTTAGCATTCACAATTACTACCATTTGTAGGTTTCTTTTAAGACATTGTTTGTAGAAAATCTTAAAGAACAGTATGAATGTGTCTCAGGTAAATCAAAGGAAGACCATGATATGAATCGGAAGCATGTCCCCACATCTCATGCCAAACCTCTACCACCTATGAAGAGCAAGAGAATTCTGACACCGGAAAATACAAGAGAAGCTAATCATGGCCATGGAAAAGTATCAAAGCTTGCATTTGGCAAGGATACAAAGAAGAGGTTTGAAAATTATAATCGCAATGCTGAGGTTAGCACACGGAGTATAATCAAAAGCCAAGGTGCAGAAGGATCTGGTATAACCTCGGCAAAAGATGCAACAAGTACAAAAACCCCATCTACTGAGAAGTTCAGAGAACCCCTACCTTGCCAAGGTAGGAAGGAGCTGATCAACCTGGTGCAGGAAGCATTGCAGGGTGCGAATCGAGAAGGAGGAAATGTTACTGTTTCCAGAAGAAAGAGGGTAGCTGCACCTCCTGGCAAAGGGGACCATAAGTTTGTTTATCTGACTCCTATGCCACTGCAGTCAGCAGGTGGAGTTGTTGGTGGTGCGGGGTTATTAAAAAGTAAAGGTAGTCTTTCATTCTAAATCATCACTGGAACTGACCTTTGTCTGGTAGACAGTTAGCTGATGATCTGCTTTTATAGGGGACGGAAAAGTTAAGCGAGAAGGTCCATGTGTTGGAACTAAGGGCTTCAGGGCTCCAGAGGTAAAGCATTTGAGAATTTCTTGATTAGGATGACAATATTAGTTTGTTGCCGGGGTCATCATTTGTCCAGAAGTTAGACGTTCTATTGAAATCAAAAGGAACACTGTCACTTTATAGTGCTGGAATCTTTTTTTCCCTTGCCATCTCAAATGGTTGCATCCTAAAAGTGTCGACATGAAACCATTCAATTAACTCTGTCTCCATCCATATATAATTTTTCACTGACTGGTTGTTTTCTCCCACAGGTTTTATTCAGATCTCTGCACCAGGGACCCAAGATAGATATGTGGTCTGCAGGAGTCACCTTGCTCTATCTGATGCTTGGACGGGCACCTTTTGTTGGCGACCCTGACCAGTAAATCCCCTTTTTTCTGTCTTAAGTTTTAAAGGTTAGCATGCACGCAAGTCATGCAGATCTGACCATGTAACTTAACGCATTTTTCTTTTTGAAAAGGAACGCGAAAGAGATTGCCAAGCTGAGGGGCAGCGAAGATCTTTGGGAAGTGGCCAAGTTACACAATTGCGAATCTTCATTCCCAATGGTATTTTTATTGACTGAAAAACTTCCAAAGGTTTAAGTTTCTTTTTCAATTTTATCATCTTAATGAAACTACTACCTTTCCTGACAGGAGCTATTTGACATAAAATTCTTGCCGTCCATGAAATTGCAAGATTGGTGCAAGCTGAACACTCGAAGACCTGATTTCCTTAAGGTTATCCCGAGTTCTCTCTTCGATCTTGTGGACAAGTGTTTAACTGTAAATCCTAGACAGAGAATTAGCGCAGAAGAAGCTTTAAGACATGAGTTTTTCAATCCATGTCATGAGGCTCTTAGAAAACATAGGTTATTAAGACAAGGGGTTAACCTTGATGATCCTAGATCCTCCTCAAATCAAGTGCTAGGACACTCCCAAACATGTAAAGAAGTCTCGTGATTAACTCTAGTCAGGTTTTGTCATGTTTGTTGTATGTATAAATATAGCTGTAACTCATGATATCTTTCCCAACAGACGACCTCATCTCATACCATGACATATAGCATTATCACATTAAAAAAAAAAAATTAAAAATACGTCAAGGATAAATCATTTGTATTCAAAAGTCTAGCACTCAAGTCAAGCTAATGCACTCAAGAGCGAAACTTCATATTGTAAAAAGCCTAATTTCATTACAGATTTCTTTGCCTTTTGCTTCAAATAATTACTTCTAGGAAGAAAGTACTGCATTCCTCAGTCATCACTGAGAAGTCTTAAGAGGATCAAAAAAATACAGCACTAATTTGAAAAATGAAGCTCTTCTACTCACTTTTTCATAAATGGTAATGATTGGGTTTGCTGAGATGAAAACAATGGTTTTCGAGAATATCACTCTTTATACTTCTTCGGCGACTTCAGCAACCTCCCACTTTTCGTCGTCCTCTGTCGGGGCACTACTGCAGCTGCTTCTGAGACTTTCTCTGCGGTTTGAGGTGTTCTTCTTCTCTTTCTCCAAAGATTTTCCCATTTCACGCCATGCTCTTCTTCAGCCTGTAATTGTTGATGATCGGAAGAACTAACCTTGTCCAATTGGCCAGAGGTGTTAACTGCCGGCTGAGCCTCTACCGCCGGCAAAGGCTGAGAATCTTGAGGGGTATCGCCGCTCCTACTCTTCTGCTTCTTCTTCTTCTTCTTCTCAGTCTCAGGAGGAAGAGGAGGCATAATCTTCTTGATCTTTTTCGTTTGCGAAGTACTGGGTCCCTTTTTGTGATCATTCGTCAGGGAGGATGAATTCTCGAACCCATTTCTCCTCCGAATTCCATTGATTTCTCCTGGCTCTGGCTTGGCTAATAGTTTCTTTCTCTCCATGCGTGCTACTTTCAATAGAGCATTATACCGAGACCAAGTACCACGGAACTTCTTCTCCTCCATTCTTTCTCTCTGTTTCTTGAAACCGACAAATTCAATCCTAAATCAAAAACTGAATAGAAACCCTTATTCAAATACTGATCAATGAAGAATCAGACAACGGTGTAAGAAATCTGGGAGGGGGTTTTCTTTTGTTGCTGAGAAGGACGCGAAAACGAAATACAGCTGAATTGATGAAACTACTCTGGGGGAATTGATACTTCTGAGTTTCGTGAACACTGTCGATTACTCGATTTTCAGGAGCTCTGTTGACGACGGCTCGACGATGCTCTGCTTTCTTTACTTCTTTGAGAAATTTTATATTTTTTGGGGACGAAAGAAATGAATGGAATTTCAGAAGAAAAACTTGACCGAAAGCTTTTCTTTTTAATCACTACGAAGTTCAACGATCAATGATTGATGAATTTAATTTTGGCAGGGGATATTGAATGACTGGAATAGGTGGTGATATTCCCCCTTTTCTAGTCGTATTTATTTAGACTGAAATGGTGTTGGTTTCTTGAACAAATTAACCGCCTAATTGGACACGCTCCAGAATTTTTCATGCTCTGCTTTTGCTCTCGAGTTTAGCTAGTCTTTATTTTTCGCATTTACTATTATTTTTTTCGCATTTACTATTATTATCAGTGGTAGTATTATTTTGTTTTCCTCCTCCTTTTTTTTTGTGTCTATTAATATCATTTCTTTTCGAGTTTATTTGTCAAAAAGTCCCGTAGGGAAATCTAAAGAGATGAGGTCTGCCTGCTGAAGAATGAGTGAACAAATTTTTCGAGCTAAAATATAAATCACTCTAGATTTTGTACGTAAATTAAGTAAGAAATCATTCAACAATTAATCTCCGAGTCAATTATTTTTTTTTATACTCCTCATTAAATATATTGTTACAATTATAAAAAAAATTAAATGGAAAGAAGTTGGCTTCAATTATTGAAGATAAAGTTAAAAAATTATTAGTAATTAATTTGACTTGAAATCCTAAAATGACCTATATTTTTAAATATCTTTCCAAACTTAAAACGAACCATAGTACTTTGACATGAAGGAAGTATCTTGTAAAAAATTTCCTTTTTTAGATTTATTGAAAAATAAACCTAAAGTTAAAAGTATAATCAAGACGTTTGTCATTATTTTTTTTTGAAATATTTTTTTCATGCTATAAAAAATTTTCAATAAATAAATGCAACAAAAAAAAGATGTGAATAATTATAACAATTAAATAACACACTAAATACAATTAAAAAGATAAGATAATTTAAAAACCGCCTCACATTACTACCAATTTTTTTTTTAGTACAAAGAAAGAGGCTAAGAGAAGCCTAATTAGACACTACTACTACTTTCTGCGGTATGCTACCCCAATCACGTCGTGACGGAGCCAGGATAGCACTTCTAGCGGAGGTGTACAAAAGCCCATTCTATTTGAGTTTGCAGACCTGCTAAACAGTCTGCTGTGAAGTTGGCTTCGCGGTTGCAATGCTTAAATTCCAACCTCCAAATCCCTCTGTTTGAGTTCCTGATGCCGGAAATGATGCCAGAGTACACTCCTTGTTCCCCCTTCCCTCCAAACAAGATACTCACAACCGCTTCACTGTCCACCTCCACTTAGATTCTACGTTCCCCTTTGTTCCATGCCAAAGTCAACCCCTGGAAAAGGCCCCATAATTCCGCCCCTAACATACTAGCAAAACCAATTTTCATTCTGAGACCCCCGCGCCATTCGCCCTGGTGGTCTCGAATTAGTCCCCCTGCTCTGGTCATACACGACCCATTCACTGATCCGTCCGTATTCAATTTCACCCACCCCTCCCTTGGTGGTCTCCAACGAATAAGTCTAAGTTCTCTCTGTGGAGATAGGTTGCCTAACCTTCTTCGCAACCTAGTTGCCTCCCTAAACTCCTCCACCTTGTTTTCAATTTCCCATATCTTCCTCTCCACCGGCTTCCACTCGTTTCTGAAAATGGGTTTTAGTATTCAGCAGGCATAAGGCCCAATTCAAAACTTGGGATGAAGACGTACCAACAATATCAATTTCTACCATTCTTTGCTTTCTAACCATAAATTAATTATAATTTGCTGAATGATCAGAGATAAAATATTTATGAATATTTATAATTGTACCTATAAAATTTAAGATGGGCCCTAACCAGTAGAGCACATACCATAGTCCCTCATCCTAACTCCGCCCCTAGTCTGATAAAGAATGCCACATTATTATAAGACTGGAAAAATATGTGACATTCGGTTTGGTAATGTCATTGTACGTTCTGCATGATGAGTTTAGTTTAAGCCATTTTGTGACTCAGTGAGCATGTCAAAAGGATTTGTTTAGTTTCGAGTGATAATTTTGCAGGTAATCATATTAGACTGGATTTTTTTTTTTTGTTTTCCTATAAATGGAGTTTTCTCCTGACCAAAAAACTACACAGTAAAGACTTCTATAAATTAATGAAATTTAAAAATAATTTCACTTTTTTTTAACTGTATACTCCTTCCAATCTTTATTGTAAGGTGTTTTTAGAGATTTCTTTTAGACATATTTATAAGGAATTTGATTCTTTTAAGTTTTAGTTTATTCTGTCCTTCTGAATGTATATGCTTATTCTTGTATGCGTTCAAAACTTAATCCATCAAATATCTTTACCATATGAAACAAAGTTTATCTTTTTTATTTTAAAAAAAAATACATTTACAGAATGTGAAAAAGCTTTAATTCAACAAAAGCAAGTTTCCAAATGCAAGTTCTATTGATTTGGATGTTTTCGTCATTGCATCATTTAAAGTTGAAGGGGGAAAAAAGTTGAAGCAAAAAGGTACGAATTCGTAAGTTCATAATTCATATTGTGCGTGCCTCGGGAATTATGATATTTCTGAAGACACAATGTCCGATTTAACATTGGATTATATACAGCGTGGATTATAAATTGTACTTCATCCAAAAAATTAAAAAATCTCATTATAATTTATAAATTAATACTATTTTTATTAATTTCTTTTTGGGTGAAAGGAGTAATATTTACCCCTTAAATCTAATCTAATAAAGAAAATCACAATATCCCTTCCTTTGCCAAGGGTCTATTTCTCTATGAAAATCATGTAAATTAGAATAAGCATTTAATTTGTATGCAAGCGTTCAAAAGGTGGATTTTCCTGGCATGTCCCATTGTGCTTACACAATACTTTTAACTGATCGAATTGTAATTTTTTTTTTTTTTTTTGGTTGAAAGTTTAGGTAGCTAAGTAGCCAACAGTTTTACATCAAGCCTTGGGTGACACTCGAAATTCAGTCATGGACTGGAATATATATGCACATTACATATGTCATCCCCAAACCCTCTGTCGCAATGATGACAGCTTGACACATTGTACAAAATGTGTAATGGACCCGTTTCAGAATTTCTTCGATGATATGATATTTGTAATAGTAACAACAAATAAAATTTAGTTTTAATATGAGAATTAATTATTGTTATTGGCGACAGTGAACAACTGCAAATTAGGAAAAAAAAAAGAAAGAAGCAAAAATTAAAAGATCAATAATTTTCAAAAATTGAAAACCGATGCATTTGGCCGTATGTTTGAAACTTGAAGAAAATTTTGAAATTTTGTTGACCATCCCTCCATGCAGTCTGCAACATGAAATCAAATGTTCTGTTCCTTTTTTTTTTTTTTATAAAAAAACTATGTTCTGTTCTTTTTATTACCCTACTATATCGATCTCTAAAATTTATTCATTAGTTCGGTATTCATAGTCGATACTCGTCGACTAAATTCGTACAAAGCGCATCCAAAGTAATCTCTTCAAAGAGATCTCTCTCAAAGATAAAAGATATCTTATAAGAATTATTCGTTGATACACAAACTTGTACAGATTACTTTTCCGTCCCAAAAAAATAGTTCACATTGAGTTTTGAGTTTTGTAAGTACAAAACAACTCAATGTGAACTATTTTTTTTTGACGGAGATATTACTTTTTTAAGGAAAATAAACTCCGAAAACCATGCAACTCCAACATGTGAGTACGTCTAAGTCAGTTAGTCAACCAAGTCCCTTTCAGGGATAAAGGTATCTGGACAATCATTTATTTATTCACATACGTATTGGACGTTGATGATATATAAATGTCCGCTCATTTATCAGTTTATTACAGAAACACATTTGAAAATCGCACAACTAAAATATGAAGATAACCAAACCCCTTTTACCTCCCTCCGGTTAATTACGTACCTTTTCGAAAACAATTAATCAAGGATGCTCGAACAATGGGTTAACCTGATCTATTCATTCTGTGCAAGGACGCTCAAAACCTCCAAAACACGTACGTAGAGAAGTCTAGTGGAAAACTTAACACACATCATGTTCGTTTTATTTTATTTGTCGTTGCAAAATAATATACTCCTTTCATTTCAAAATGACTGGCTATTATAAACTTTTGTTCTTAATACGATTTTTCTTTTTTTTTGGACGAAAGGACTATATAGAGCTTGAAATACATAGCTTTAGCTCCCGGCTTTTCTTTTCAAATGGTTATGGTTCTCTTATGCACACTTATTTGTTTCTTAGAGAAAAATAATTACTCAAAAGTAAGGAATCTTGATTTTTTTTTTTTTTAGTTCGAACTTCATGCTTTGGAATAGATGCATAATGTACGGTATTTAGTTAATTTCATTTGTATTTTTGAGTTTCTTGGCTGATGATGTAAATCCTAGGGCTGAAGTACAGGATTTGGTGGTGGGGGAAACTATACCGAGAAACGGTACCTGAAGAGAAGTCCTCCTGAACTGAACGGTTGCGTGAGCGTGAAGACAGTGGGAGAAAGGACTAGGGTCCGGTGATACTCACGGGAATTTCAATATTAAAAAAAACCTAAGAATTATTTAGACCACAAAAGGCTTATTTTTGGGGTAGAACAAATTTATCCTCATGTCATTCCATGAGATTCCCATAATCACCAGATAAATAAATGAAACAAATATTTTGCTTGAAGGGAAAAACTAAGTATTACTAGTAATATTTGTAATATTTAGTTCTCAATGTTTCCCATATTACAAATGTCCACCGTTATCGCTTGACCTCATCACTTGTGTAATAAAATAATAATAACATATATCCATACGTGTCGCGCAGATATTTTAAATGTAAAAATATTTGTTCAAAGAATTCACTATTATCGGGATTACGATCTATGTTTTATCATCACAATTTCACAAACACAAAATAATCTGTCCATGATCGCTAACAACTTGAAATCAACAAAATCATCATCTAACAACCCCATGCATCTTTTTGGTTCAACAAAATGGAAACTTCAAAATCATCAAATTGATCAGCATCTAACAAAAAACGGTGATAAATCATGCATTTGATAAACAGAGAGAACATCAAAGAGTACGTTCAAGGAGATCGGGTAAATTTATCTTCACACTGACAAATACACCAACTCCCAAACATAATAACCAAGCTGATCATGATTCACTCCATTCTAAAACCCATTCACTCGATAAACCAACCATACCAAGACACACTAAAAGAAATCATCAAATATTCAGTTCCTCACAAAAACGACTGAAAATTTTTACAGTTTTCCTTCCACAACCAAAAGAAATGAAAACTAAGAAAACACCAAAACAAAACTGATATCAGATCAGCTCACTGAGAAATCTGGAAGGACGAAAACTCAAGACAAACAGGGATTTTTCGGAAGCATAGGGGCAGGCAATGTCGGTTTACACTGACTTTTTTTTTTGGCGTTTTTCCGACTTCCTGGGCCCACGACGTCGAGGGCGGAGCTCCGGCAACAATTCGAACGGTTCGGATTGAGGCACCGAATGCAGCGGTTCCAAGAGCACCGCGTCCACATATCTATGCGGCTGCGACATCAGCCTCACACTTCTCCTCAGCGTGACACCTGGCTGCGCCGCCGCTGCTTCCCTTGCCCCAACCGCGGCCGCTGATTCATCCGCCGCGAGGACCTCCGGTGGTGGTGCCGTCGCCGTCGCAGACGCTTCTGAACCTTCCTCCCCTGGTGCATTTCCCATCTCGGCCCCGACGATTTCATCCGCTGGGGCCAAAAGCTGCAGCGGCCCATTTCCCAGAGCGGTGGTCAAAGCTCCCTTGTCCTGAATAAGATCCTCCTCCGTACCGGTCGATTCCTTCCGATCCAGCACAACCAGAAGGGCCTTTTTTCCTCCTCCCTCTGCGCCGCCGTCACCACCCCGGTTGGGCTTGGAAGATTCAGCGGCCCAAACATCTTCTCTCGGGGTCCTTCTCTTCCTCGGCGGGTTTTCCCAGACCACATCGACGTGGCCTGAGTTGGGAATCGCCGCCGGGGCCGCCGTCGCGGCAGTAGCAGCAAAGGAACCCTCATCTGCATCAAGGACTGGTGGGTGGTTGAGATCTATCTCCATTCTCTGGTTTTCTGCCATTTTCGAATATGATTTAGTCCGGGAAGACGACTCTGCTTTAGAAGGGGCACCGGATTTGTTGTCGTATTTTTTTCCCCTCAAAGCTCTATCTCACATTGTTTGATTTTTAGTGCTTTTTTTTTTCTCCATTTCGACGTCATTATTGTTATTTATTATTTTTTGGGTAAAATATTGATGTCATTATTGTGTACTAATTCGTATTTGGTTTGTCTTCATAAAACTCAAGTTTAGGAGTCGAAATCCGTCGTGCAAAAAAGGTAAAAAACAAAACTGCATTTATTGAATATGGAAATGCACAAAATCCACAAAATTAATGCTTCGTTCGTGTGTGATTCTGTGCATGAATTTTTTCAGTTGTTACCTTTGGATGATCATATAAAAGTCGAGGCAAAAAGGTTCTTATAAAATGCTACTCAGATACAGAAATAAGTCTTGATGGCATGGGTTATAATATTACCATGAGATCTCATATTCGATTCTAGTTGAGTCAATTAATCAAACTATTTTCTCTCATGTCATGAGATCTTATGGTTTATACATATTTCAAAAAGAAAAAAGATGAAATAATTAGGAATAAGAATTAATTGCGAATGGATTATTTTATAACAATAATATGTTGCTGTCCTCATAATGGAACAATATCATTCATAATTTAGTACTTACAACTTATGAATGCTTTTGTTCCATTTATTCCTTGTTGTATCCAAATGATAGAATAGCACATTTATAAGCACTTGAATAATGAGATCCATTTGATAAAAAAAAAGAAGAAGAATAATGAGATCCATACATCGTAGCTAACTTACTACTACAACTTCCTATCGTTCCTGATGCATGTTCTCATTCATTCAAAGTATAAAGTTGTGGGTTGAAAGGAGATTGTTTACGGAGTAGGCACCTTTTTTTATTTATCTATAACTTCTCTTGTCAATTTTTTTGTCGGTTTTGCTGTCACGACGAGAAAGTCCCCCGGGGTTTAAAAAATTTTCTCACAAATATCTTATTTGTTAAAAAATTGTTAACTCTGGATTTTTCTTTTATCATGTCTAATTTTTCTACGCGGGTAGTGAAAACCGATGTGGATGTCTGTGAAAATGAAAAAGAGATGATTAATTACAAAATTATAATACTATTAAAAAAATTGTGAAAATAAGAAAAAACTATGTTTTTTGTCGACTTCTTCTTATTAAGAAGATGAAAATGTCGATAATTTTCAAAAAAAAAAAAAAATTTTGTGGCGTTGACATTGATACCAACAAATTAATCAGCCAGTAATTCAAAGAAACAATATTTTCATATATATTAACACACTCAATATTTAAATTTTTGGATTGGTATTTTTAGTTAAACTATAATCAAGTTAGGTAATGGAAAGTATAGAGATCAATTTCTATTGTGCTCGTTTTCATTTTCAAATTATTAGTCGATTTATCTTTTTTTTCTTTTCCTATTGAGTATGTTCGTTTTTTGTATATTTTTATTATAGGGGAGGCGGAATAATGGTTGATAACGTATAAGAAACCACATGTTGAGGGAGGGTGTGATAACAAAAATACCTATAGTTGGTTTTGAGGTGGAATTATATGAGACTTAAATGTTGATTAATACTGCTTACAATTTTTAATGTGGGACAAATAAACAGACGTACACATCTTTTAACACTTCACATATTTTACCAAAGTGGAATAAAATATAAGCTTTCATAGACGTTCAAGCACTACAAGAACCTCAGGCTTTCATGACATACAACCACGACATTTCTTAATGAAATGTCTTTATAAAGAGGAGATACGAGGACACTAACATTAAATTAATGCGTAGATAGATATGCTAACAAGACATTCTTTTAGGGGTTAGCTATAGATTTAGTGACACAGTTCTCACTACATTCGTAATAAAACAACCCATCTCTTGGTTTTTAAAGGTGGAATAGTTAAGTTTTACTCCCATTAATTAGTAAAATATAATTAATAATACTTAAATAGGTAGAAAATTAGAGTAAGTCCAAGTCTCATCGTTCCGCCTACTTCACCAAAACCTCTAAACCAGCAGCCGGATATGGGCACCTGCTACTACCCAAGTCCTCTTCCCCGCTTATTTGGTGGTAGTTTCCATAAAAGAACCGTTGAACAAAATCCCAATGTTATTTCTACAGTCCCACAAAATTGAATCAATGATGATGCGTTCTTGAATTCCAACTTCGTAGGCTTAAGGTAATGTCACTTTCATTTTCAAGGAAACAGATTATTGTGTTATTCCTTTCGCTTAAATACGCTTGATGTTCAACTCATATGCTTCGTTTGATCACAAACAGTTTGATTCGTCTGATTTATTGCTAATTCGAGATTGATGAGAATCGAAGATACATGTTTGTATATATGGTTTCACACCAGTTTTGCTTGTATTGAGACTCATCTAGATAATATTAATAAAAAGTTATAAATACACAATTTTTTAGCATCATATGATGTTATTCTTTGCTCCTTTGATCACATAAATTGGCAGATTACTTGGCTCGTTACTGCTATCTAGTTAGCTAGCTGTAGCAGGGCAACATTATTCAAGAATAAAGCGCTAGTGGTAATGCCATTTAAATTGCATTATTATCTTTTTGAACTCAATGTTACTTATATTGCTGCATCTTTAAGCGTTAGCTATTGTTCAGTTAATCTCCTTTTGATTCAAGTGATCTTTTAGCTCAGTCAAATATTTTGTGATATGGTCTTATTTTGAATAGAACAAGCAGGCAAGGACTTGACACAAGCTAGAAGAGAAGGTTTTTTTTTTGTTTTTGCAGAACATGGTTGGAGACCAGGTACCAGAGTTGTTCAAGTGTAATTGAAATAGGACATTTCTGATTTCATTATAAATATTATGTGATTCTTACGAGGTTTGAATCAAGAAATCGTAAAGAGAGGGCTACAAAACAGAGCAAGGACAAGCTCGAAGGTACTTGGGATTTGAGCAATGATGTAAAAGACAATCAATTTTAAAAACCAGTAGCTAGACACCAAGGAGCTTTTTTTTTTTTTTTTTTTTTTTCTTCTTCTTTGAAAAAAGGTTGTACCTATTTCATTTTGTTTACTTTTCACATCCTGGACCACATATACGTACACCACAATTGTGTTTGATAGTGAAATTTATATCTGAAGTTGAAAATAAACCCGTAGTTCGGTTTTTAATGCTATAGAAAAACTTTTGTACGCATTATACTAAATGATAAAAGGTTATTTAATTATCACCATAATTGTAGATATGTTGATATTATAGTAAATGGTAAAACATGTGTTACTTAAGTTTCACCACACTTGCAAATGTCTTTATATATGTATATACTAGTGATGTCTGGTGCGCGACCCTGACCCAATATATCTGTAGATCTTAGAAATGTTTGTATCTGGAAAAAAAATATTTTGTATTTGGCCCGATATATTTTAGAAACATTTGAACAATTTTAGAAATGTTCTATAAGTGTGATGTTTGTATTTGGCAAAAAAAAATTATATTTGGCCCGGTACGTTTTAGAAATGTTTGAAGATTTTAAAAATATTTTATAAGTGTTACTTCTTAAATATAAATAAAATTGATCAAATATATGTCTTGAAGTAAATAATAGACAAAATATAAAATCATCCTAATAAGTTTAAATATTAGTAAGATAATTTATTGATGTTCTCCATTGGCTGTGCCAAATCAATACTTAGTTTCATAGATTTATAATAGCTTTGTAGTTAGCTTCCTCCAAAGGGTATATGCTTAATTGTTGGAACTATTTCTTCCAAAAGTTTATAGGTAGTAAAATATCAAAAATATAATTTTGAAACTGGTTAATTGTTGAAACTGGTTGATCACAAATATGAGAATGAAAATAATTATAAATTTGCATAGGTTTCAAGATATAGCAAAAAAGAACTCACCTCACAATGGCAAATAAAAAAAGAAAGAAGTAAAAGATAGCCCATTAAAATTTGAGAGTTTTTATTTTTTTTTCTGTAGGTAAAAATGATGTATAAAAACACAAATAAACGTAGAACATCATTCCTTCCCTCTCCACTTCAAATTCATAAAAGGATCCCCATAAAAGAAGCGACCTGAACTATTTATATGATGAGGAACTAAAAAAAGTCCAAAAACCAAATCTAAAAAAGTATATTCTTGAAACCCTGAACACAAAAAAAAACGTGCTTCATTTGCAAATAAAATAATAATAATAATAATAATAATAATAATAATAATAATAATAATAATAATAATAATAATAATTGGTCAACTGGGAGTATGAAACAAAATCAAAAGCAATTAAACAAAGAAAAAACACACTTCATAATTGAGCATATACGAAAAAAAACCTGAGACTGCATAATTAAAAAAAGAAAACCACTATAATTGAATGAAACATAAAAAACAAATTTAAAAAACCACACTTTGTAACAAAAATCCAATCAATCAATTCAATCCAAACATAACTAAAATCATACAAAAATTCTAGGCTAACTAACCAAATAAGAAATCACATCATACTACCTGACAACGGCTACGGTATCTGTAACGGATGGACGCATAAAAATAATAGTAATAACACTGTTCTTGAATGGGAAAAATAAAAAATAATAAAAGCCAAACCAATGATCTGTGGAAATAAAATCATTTAAATATTAATACCTGTAATGGCACCACCACAATGGCCGAAGCGAGATCAATGAGATTTTTTCTTTCCCTTTGTGTTTATATAGAGAGGTAAAGAGAATATTTTTTGAAGTTGAAATTTTATCCGATTAAGATGTAGTTGATCATCACTAATGAAAAGATTGAACATGCTAATAGGAAAGGAGTATATTTCACCACATATTCTCAATTGATGATTGATGAGGAATTTGTTTCTTTTTTTTTTAATTGTGGAGAAGGGATGAGGATTTGGGGTTTTTATGAACCCGTGATTTTTTTTGTTTGTTTTGACGGAAATAGAAGGTGGAAGTGAATCT